ATTTTACAACCGTTTTACCTTTATTTTTAAGCAAACTTAACGAGAATATAAAGAGTCTTCAAGCTAGATATTGACATATTTGCTACTAGCCTAAATGTCTAAGAAGCCGCATGAGTTTAAAGATATGACCTCGAAAATATGGACCCCTTCTAGTTACATAATTTTTATTAAAAAAGTATTTGTTCAAATACACTAAATCTTGAAATAATCAATGATACGTTTGTTAACATTTTACCTGCGTTTATTGGTATGCAGTGAACCGGAAGCTGTTTAAAATAAAGGTTGTAATAAATTAGTTGTTGAGAAATTAATTAACTATACAAATCAATTTGTGTGGTTACTTACCTACCAGTTAGTAGTAGTAAGTAGCTGTAGTCTTGCACATTGTATGTTAATTTTAACAAACAACATGTGAGACTACTTTTTTAACTACGGCCTGACAGTTTGGAGGCTTTGCAGCAATTATGGCCACGGGGGGCGTTTCGTACCGTTTAAAAGTGTTTTATTTAAATTTGTACTATTCGCGTATACCTACTGTATAGACCTATAGATTATGATATATGATTATATGACTATGATTTATATTTTTTCAGAAAAATTTATCAAAATCTTGTTGAAAATGTTCTATATTTAGTTCCAGAAAATCCGAAATTTTGAAATGTTGAATTTTTTCCTTATTTCGAATGGAAAATTATTTTTGTTTGTATGTACGGTTAGTCATAAGGAGAACTGGAAGCACCCAAACAGAATTATGAGTGATTAATATTGTATAAATAGTATGAGTAAATTCATAGTAACTTTGATATTGGTGACGCACAACTGGTTTTGTAATGAGAAGGTCTCTATTATCGCTTTACTCGAAGTAGTACGTTAGATAGACAGTTTGGCAGCAAGTACTTGTTTACAAATGAAACATAAAAACGTCCTAGGTCTACTGGGAAAAATAACTATATTGTTAAATAAAACAGTGTAAAGCTTCATTGCTTCACGTGAGGCTTGGGGCTTTAGCTGAGGTCTGTCTGTATTGACTACAGAATGCGGGATATTTACGCAGCTTAGATTCTAGCCACCACAAGAAACATATGGAACTGTTTTGAAGTTACAACATTTTGAACACGGCTGTCAAACTGAGCTACAGAAACACCGACATTTCTTGAAAACCCTTTGCCACGAAAACGAATTTGACACACACATTTAAGTGCCAGTGTTAATTAGATTCTTCTCATTTAAATATCACACACACTTTCTCAAATCTGGTTAACCCTCTTGTGTATAGTAAAGTGACAAACATTTTGCATAAAGTTAAACAATGTCTGTTCGTTTGACTAGCAATTACACTTCCGATAATCGGTAATTGTTGCTGTTCACCTCATAATAGGTGTAATATCGTTAAAGATAACTCATAAATAATGGATGCAAATCTATTTGTGGATTTTCCTCACGTGTAAAACGCCTTTGCGTTAACTTTTCATACTTCGTACACGATGCGTGGGTCAACACGTTTTGTTTTAATAGAACAGAGGAATTAATTGGAATAACCACCGTGCGTCACGCGATAACCAGGTAAATGATAATAATAATTACAAAATTATTTATTTACTTACTACAAATAGTAAGTGATTATCGGCTCTATAGTTTTACGTTATATTTATAAAGTCTTAAACAATACAATACTCTATGTAATGTCTTAGAATATACATATAAATACGATAGTGTTGGTTTGTCGCTAGAAAACACCTTTAGAAAATCCTGAATGGCATTGGCGACCATAGCGCCATCTATGAAACCCAATTAGTAACATTCGGATACTTCTATTTCGGTATGTAGTTAGTAATAAATTATTGCAAAAAATAGACAAGCACTTGTTAAAGTTGATATACTCCAGCTATATAATATAACAAGATGCGCTATCGAACTATTTTTGCTGGGGTTTTCGACAATCCACAGACTAGGTTTTTTTCATCCGTGGCAGTGGTTTGTACAACCAATATTTCTACAACCCATTTAATATGCAGATTTTACAGCCGATCCAAATTCGTTGAGATCTTAGAAATATCATAAATTAATTAGAGACATGTTAAACTCGGTGAGAATCGAATCCACGACCCGTTAAGTGCAACCCCCGACAAGTGCAAAAATATCTTCACCATCATTATTATAGATTATAGGAGTTATTTATATATTAATAGTAATTTAACATTGACTAACATAAACAAATCCTACGTGTCAAACATCGCGTGCCCCTTACTTTATATGACTGTTCGTTAGCCCAATAAGAACAATAACATTTACATAATGCTTTATCGTCCCAGCACTGAGTCAGCTGGTAAAGTCTTGAATTTAAACTACACAGTCCAGTGTGAATTATACCCTTCTATGTATGAATAAGTTAATTGTTAGAATCAACGTCACTAAGTGTTTTTAGAATCAAAGTACAATATACCGGGATCATTAAATTAATAAATACGTATCGAGTAGAGTCATATTACAGTTTCGATAAAAACTGGGAATTATGGAATGCAAACCGTATGCGAAAAAAAAACATTTTCACATTATTATCTATTTTTAAGCCGTTTAATTGATTTTATAAGTCCCTGAAAATGCATAGAAAGGGGGTTAACTTTCGATATGTTCATGTATAAGGTTCTATGTTCAAAATAACGTTACAAGTGCATAAATAAATGTTATGAAGGCGTTTTTATAAAATTTTCGAACATACATACAGAACTTTAGATCTTATCTTTTTCTAGTTCTGTAGCGTAGTGTAAGAAAATGAATTACCCGATTTTGATATAAAAATATCACGGACAACACATGAACATGTTTTACTAGTAGTTATTCTGTACGATCCTTTTAACCATGTAACTAAGACAATATAAATTTTAACTGCACCAAAAAAAAAATAGCTTGATGTCTTTTGAATTGAATGCGTGATTAAATAAGTTGTGAGTGGCCAAGGATAATCTCTCCCTTTAGGAGACAATGCGAAATGAATATTGGCCTGTCAAAATATCGATTGTATTCAAAGTTGGCCGTCTGACCTAGCTTTCGTTAGCGCTGATGTGTGAATCAGCGGCAATCCCCGCGCGTACGCATAGTTCCGCACACGTGACCTCCATAATCGACACCTGTTATTGACAATCGTAGCTATTAGGACCTTTTCAAAGTAAGCTATAACATAATAGCTTAGAGGGTATCGTTCATAGCACAGACATTTGTATTTTGCAAAAAATAATTTTACATTATATTGACAGTGACAAAGTTTTAAAGTTTTCTTTTTTATTATGTTTCATGAAAACAGCTGAAAGCACCTTTTGGACAAACAAAAGAATCCTGAAAATTGATTCATAAACGACACAGTTGTCCGCGAACAATCATATGTGTTCTTCTATTATAGCGTAGTCCATTATCTGAAAGGAACCTTATGATACGGATGCCTTAAGAAAAACATATAAGTAATTGACCATAGTTTAAATATTTCTTAGTATTTGTGATTTTTATTGACTTGTAGACTACGAATCGAATGTGACTTATATGCTTATATTAATCGCCATTCCATAGTAACATTTAAAAAGTCAGTTAACATAGTAATACCTTTTTGATAATATATAAAAACTATTTCTTAGATCCTAAACGCTCGTTATGTACTTAAATAAAAAAAAATACAAATTATTGTTTGTTAATCGAAGTTTATACCTAATAATAAGTATTTTATAGGACCTTTTACATTTTGTATGCCATAATAGAAAAAATCATATGAAATAAAACACTTTTAACAAAGTTTAGACCGCACGTTATGCAAATCAATTACCTACTTTTAACTACGACCCGACGTTACTGTTGCTTTTTAGCATCAGTAACGTCGTGTCGGTTTTACTTTCACATCAGAGACATCCTCCATCTTTAGTCTCCCCGTGACCACGGCTCCTGCAAAGTATTCGAAACGTCGGACCGAAGTTAAAAATCATTTTCTAATAAGTTTAACTAGTATATCGCGTTTTAAACCGTTAAAATGTTTTAATTAAATGCTCACTATCAGTGTACTCGATAAACAGACAATATATAATGCGTTCAAAATATTTGTATATTAATACGTACATCCCCAAAATATGGCTCACTAAAAACCCAGTTACGTCTGTCAATATTATATTGACACAAATCATCATTATTATATATAGGTGTAAAAAAACTGACAAAAAAGAACTGCTAATGTATAGAAGAACATCATATTTTTATTAGACAGGCCTTTATTAGTCAGAAAGTGGAAAACCCCGATTATTTTTTGTTTACATATTTATTAAGTACGAGTAACGTTTTTATACCCAGTTACAAAATTAGAAGTCTATTATCTATACTAATATATAAAGCTGAAGAGTTTGTTTGGACGCGCTAATCTCAGGGACTAGTGGGAATTGAAAAGATCTTAGTGTAGTGCTTGAAGTATCCATCAAGAAAGATAATATAACATAAGTTATAAAACATCGCGCTGCGACTTATAGGAGCGATAAAATGTAGAGAAAACAGGAAAAATTATTCACCTTTGTGAGTTTCCGTTGTTGCGGAAACTGTTCGGAATATCCAAAAAATATGTATAAAATAATGATTTCTCCTTAAATGAGCTAAAAAAATGTCCGCGAAACTATATGTCTATCTTTTAAGAATGACTTGCAAGAACGACGAGAATCTATAAAGATTGTAAAAATAAATTTTGATGACTATTCTTCGCGGAGGATGTCGCTGGCACCGCTAGTATTTCATAAGTGTGAGAAGTTTCGTTTCCTAGACAGAGATATACGTAGATTTCTGTTCATGTTTTTTTAAATCTGCCCACATATCACCACCCACAGCGAGGATTGAGCAGTATCTAAGCTTTTAAATTTCCTCACCTATGCACAAGAATGCCCCGGTTCTTAGCAGAGAATGTTGAAACGATGTTTTCGTTGCATATCGTCTTATTTTTATATTTGAATACAGTTTAAATCTATCTTTCCTTTTTTCAGATAATACTGGCAATATTCTCGGCGCGAGCGAGTGGAATACTGGGTACCCGTCCACCGCAACTGTCTATCCGGGCTACGCGCCATTGCAGGGTCCCTACTACAAGCCTGATTCTACCATACACATTCCGACAGGTAATGAGATTAGATACTTAGATGTTCCTTAGAAAATAATGTCACGTTAGTTCTGTTGCGGCAAAGGCGCTAAATGTTTACGTTTATAGATCTTTATAACTACGATTTAAAGCATATCAAAAATGTGGAACAACTCCGTGGTGCACAACTTGATTGTAGAAAAAGGAACTTTTTAATGCTATTCGTATATATATGCTTTTTTCTAGTACCCACCCTTATTTTAACAAACGTTTTTTTTTCAGTATTACCTGAAATCCCGCTAACGCATACAGACTACAGCGGTTTCCAAACAAGCAGCACGGGCTACGTCAAAAACAGCCCGAGCGGTACCAGCGGCAGTCTCACAGATCTCAACAGCACCATGCCCACGCAGCGATACGACCCAAATTACTATAACTCCTGGCCGAATAACAGCTACAACTACCAATACAACAACATCAACAACAACCCGGCCTGCTTGCAATCCCACACGCCCTATATCAACCCAAATCCACAGATGATACTACCAAATCTATATTCCACAGTCAACCAGAACCAAATTCACGTTCACCTACATAGCTCCACAGATAAATACAACTTGGAACAGTATATACCGAGCGAGATTAAAATAAGCGATATTGACGGCGGTATTTCCATCACCACGGAACTGCCTGGAAGTGGGGAAGCCAGTGGCCTTGTGCAAACTTGTGAGAGTGATGATGTCAAACACAGCCTGTACAGCGCAACCAATCAAGAAGTGTGGCGACCTTATTGACAGTACGCTTACTTTGATGAGAATAACCAACAGTCTATTGTACATATTGTGATATAATGAACTCAATTATAAATGTACATTCCCTAGAAATCGATTAATGTTAAACATTAATTAGATTGTAAGTGTTAATAAATGTATTCTAATAAATAAATTAACATATCAAGTTTTGCTGCATTGTTATTTAATAAATAAACGTTACTTATATAACCTATATAAATAAAAGTATATAATAAAGCGTTATTAAAATCATATTAAAAGCAATAAATATCTAATGCTATTTTTTTAATCTATATATAAAACTACATGGCCAATACTTGAAATGGCATCCATAGAATTGAGCTAAGTAAGTCTTTAACTTGACACTGGCTAATAGTAAATTCTTCTTGCCACAAATGAAAAAAAAAAGTACCGTGTCGTATTTTTTTTTCAATCTACATAGATTTCTAATTTATATAATGCCAACATTTAAATAAAACACTTTAACGGTTTAAAACGCGATATATTAGTTAAACTTATTTGAAAATGATCTCAGTCTCCCCGTGACCACGGCTGATATATCGCGTTTTAAACCGTTAAAGTGTTTTATTTAAATGTGTACTACTCGCGTAATCTATAGACCGTATTTAATGCCAACATGTGAAAAATGATCCAAACGAGGAAAAAGTAGATAGTTCTAAGTTATAAAAGTTAGTTTATCTGTTACTAATACTATTTTCTTATTATTGCCTAATTCCCCATTACAACTACTTTGAAGCACATCAATAATATTCGAATAGATAATAAATTTACGAATGACTGCATAATACCATTTTAATTAGATATTGCCATACTACTATACAGCAGAAACAGTATATAATTATCTAACATAATAATTTATTAACTATTTTCTGAGGTAAAGTATAATATTAACTTTACAAAAGCGCCATCTGTCGTAACTTCTTAAAAGTTTGTGATCTTCTTTTGCTCCACACAACCTAAAAATATCTATCTCCCTTTATTGATAGATGATATTCTCCTATTCTCGTAAGCGCAATAACATATAAATTTACTTAACTAACATTTTCTAAAATGGGAATTATTATTACAGTCTCCTATTTTTTTCGACAATATCATTAATTTGGTATCTGTGATTAGTAAACAAATTAAAATATAAATATCAGTTATTACATTAGCGCGAATTTTAGAAATAAAAAAGTGCAAATAAATTCGTTCGTTCATTCATTATTATATTTTGATAAGATTTTCTACCTACAAAATCATTTTCATAAAAATTGTAGTCGATGAAGAAATGACAAATTATATAAATATAATGGCAACCCAAATCTCTCAGTCGAAGTTTTACTTTAAAATGGCGGTGTCAAAGTATTTTCAATGAAATCATTAATTTTATTTAAATAAAACAAGTATTCGTGTGTTTAATTAAGTGCTTAAGTTTACAAAACCGTATTTATGATAGGTCGAATTATTTATCTCATTGTACATTCAAACAGTAAGTATTTCAAATCAACCATCGTACCTGTTTATCTACGTCATTGTTGCAGGACTCTGATAACGACGCCGAACGCAAAATATTCGTGTTCTAGAATTAATTTTGCTCGTTTACTTGCAGTCAAGAGTCCCTCTTAACTTATTAGTGAGAGTGCGATGTCAGAGGAGTTGGACAGACATGGGGAGTCGGCGAGCGACAGCGTCGCTGGCGGTGGCGTCACAAACGTGGCGCGTGTGTTATTGACCCCTGTCCAGCTTGACACCGCATCCGCGGAACTTCGTACCGCGTGGAAAAACCAGGACTCGTATATTGACCATCTCGAAACATTGAACAAACAGTTGGAAGGTATTTACGAAACGATTACAGTGGCTTGGTAGTGTACGATCGGCGACCGGGTCGCAAGTTCATGTGCGAAACTTGTTAGTTCTGAATCGACAATGCTTTAACTAAAATACGATAGTGATATGACGAAATTATTGTGATTTGCAATGTTAGTTGATGTATTGTTTGTGGTAACGGGTGTATTTAGGTGTTAATAAGATAACAAGAGGACGGTGATATCCTGTGTCTCAAGTGGAGTGTTCTGTGGAAGTGTCAACATGTGGGGTACCGGGGCGGCCAGTGAAAAAACAAATGCCCTTATTGTGTTAAGTGTTCTAAAAAATACAGTTTTGAAAGCAAAGTGCATGTTATCTACAACCATGTCGCTACATGAAAAAGTAAATATGCCTTTTTTATTTAACTTAGAACTAAGACTCGTTATAAGGAACTAAATATGTTACATTATTTTAGTTTTTTCTTTAAATTTAAGAATACAATCAAAGCGTAACCAACATTGTCCAGAACTATTAAGATTTATGTCCTAAGTTTTTTATAAAATTAGCACTATTTTAATCATATAATTCAAAATTTATATTACTATTAACTTGGTTATTTCTTGCTAACAAGTGTCCATCAATGGATTAAATAGGATGATAAATTAGCAAGAAATAATGAACCTAGCACCTGCCTGATAACTAATAGTGGGGTAATAAAATTGTGAAAAATCTTCGATACAATCTCATTAATCTGGTACATAAATTTACCAGATTTTCTGAATTAATGAATTATATTGAAAAACATTGGTATGATAAGTCAGTAACTGAAAACAGTAACCCAAAATAAATTTACATACCACAAAGGTTTGATGGACTGAAGTGATATAATAAATTTACTGTTTTAAAATAAATTTGAGGTGTGCTGTCTCAGAAAAATATATAGATTTAGAAAAACAATGGATTTAGATCTTATACATAGAGTCCATGTCAAAAAGAAGTAGATGTTTTCTTTTAATATCCACAGTCATTATATGAACAGATATTTATCTAATATAAAGATATTATGTAAATTTATTTTAATATAGAAATAACTTACATATATTGAAATAACTAAGTAGTGGCACTAAGAAAACTCCTTAGTTTCTCTATCCTATGAAATGTGGTTTGCAAATAATATGTTATATGTAGTTATAAATAAAAACCTATTTAAGAAAAAAATTATTTGAATAAAGCACTTTAACAGTTTATAACGCAATATATATTAGTAAAAGTTATTTGTAATAAGATTTTAACTACGGCCTGAAGTTTGGGATGCTTTGCAGCAGCTGTGGCCAGTCCAGTCAAGCATCGAAATGTTGGACAGTAGTAAAATCATTTTCGAATAAGTTTAAAATATATATATATCGAGTCTTAAACTTTAAAGTGTTTTATTTAAATGTGTACTACTCACGTAAACTACAGACATCATTTAGTTTATAGGGCAGAAAAGCTTTCTAATCTTATTGCTTGTCTTTAATAGAAGCCAACTTCAAGTGTTATTCTAGAACTTAAATATAGCCAAAGATCTAGGTTTATAATATTATGAATGACATATTGTATCTATCTTCGATGTAGTTTCATAATTGAATATTAATGTTCTCACACATATTTTAAAATGTTCTACACTTTTCATACATCTATTATTTATAACTTTGGATGCTCCATAGATTTAATGTTTATGCTGTAAAAATATGTAATACTCGGACATCTTTACTTGTACATAATTTAAATGTTATAAGCTCTGTATTAACTGTCTTTATGTTGTAATTATAGACAAAACAAGAGTAATTGTTGTAATTAGTAAAAATAATTTGAATATTTTATGTTAAATCTCTGTAATGTCATATGAAGGATTTAAGGTGTAACTATAAAATTATATTTGTTACTTTAATTTCCTGTTGTAAATAACTTTTACAGGTAAAATAGCAAATTTTGCATTTAGTTAAGGTGTTGTCGATTGCAACCTTATGTTGGCATAGTCTTGAATGAAAGTTTAATTGTTCCTTAATTACATTAAAATTCAAATAATTGTATATGTAATGTGTTGATAAATGTTTATAAAATTACAGGCAGCTTGGAAAAGGCGAAAGGTATAGAAGATAGGATACGACAGCAATATGCAGAATCCCAACATCGTGAAAAAGTCCTTGTGAGGCGGCTTGCAGCCAAGGAACAAGAAATTCAAGACTATGTAGTAAGTATGACTTTTTTATATCTTATTTGTCCATTTTTTTTGTTTCAATATTCACAAGCCTCTAAACCTGATAACTTTTATCCATAGAGCAAGATCAATATTTTAATTTAGGCTTTGCTTCATTCAAAAATTTTTTTCATTCATTACTTCTTCAAGTTAACCAATGTTTATCTTAATTATTTCAGAGTCAAATAACGGAACTCAAATCATCACACGCCAGCTTAAATGGAAGGCCATCATTATTGGACCCAGCTGTTAACATGCTTATTCTAAGGCTAAAACAAGAACTAACATCCACTAAAGCCAAGCTTGAAGAAACTCAGAATGAACTATCAGCGTGGAAGTTTACACCTGACTCGAATACAGGAAAAAAATTAATGGCTAAATGCAGGCTGTTGCACCAGGAAAATGAAGATCTGGGAAGGATGACGTCTAGTGGAAGAATAGCAAAGTTGGAAGGTGATCTAGCGTTACAGAAAAGTTTCAGTGAAGAAGTTAAGAAGTCACAGTCAGGTAATATTATATTTTCCATTGCTTGCCATTACTTGAAATCTCTGAAATATTTATTCAATTTAAAGAGATTTCAAGTAATGGAGCCAGTACCAAACACAATTGTAAGTATCGGTTATAGGTAGGACAGGTTTGTTGCTCTAAGGGTTAATCTGCTGTGTTAATGTTGATTGAATTGAACTATTCAAACATTACACTTCATCTGGAACAACTTAAAAATGGGTGGTAGAAATTTCAAATTTCAGTAGATATCTGAATGTCCAAAGTAAGAACAACCTGTTCTTGTTTTATATAAGACTTGAGTATTTCACCTGATGAATGAACCATATCCTATCTTTCTCCTATTCTGTCATTAGAAAAAAAATATACTAGAGTTTCCAATTTCACTTTCAGAAATGGATGAGTTCCTACAAGAATTAGATGAAGATGTGGAAGGAATGCAGAGCACAGTGTTGTTCCTCCAGCAAGAGTTACGCGCTACGCACGCAACAGTGAATGGTAACAGGCCGTCAACTCCAGCTGACAAACGGACTTATTCCGGTAGTGAGTGCAGTGACACGCCTGTGGGCAAGAGACGCCGCGCTTCCGTACTATCTTTAGACTATAATGAAGAGGAAGAACCTCTCACTGTGACCAACGGTGAAGCAGACTAGTGTCTCTATATTAGTGATAAATGTTATGAATTCCCAAGTGATCACACACTGTGACAACTTCTATTAGCCATAATAAGTGTGACGATACTTAAGACTAAATTCTTACAGCTTCATCGCTGTTGACTAATCGGTGATGATTGTGTCCATGTGAGTATGAGAAACTTGTTTATTTTTGTATGAAGTGGACAGTGTGATCAGATCTAGTGAAATCATTTGACATTGATTTTCGAACTGAAATATTGGAACAAACAGATGACAATTTTATAATTTATTTATATAAAGTGCATTATTTAAATGTGATAATTGTATGAATTAAGCAATAATGAACTTGATGTTTTCGCGATTGACGTATATGTATATGGACACCCGACATGTAACGGTGATTTCTTGCGTTGCAATAATGATAACACACTAAGCCTAAGAATAATGATTGCCTGAGTTTTTATGGAATTTCTGTGATTTTCTAATGGAAATGTTTCTATTTTTAAATTGCGATTGAATGTATATATAGAAGTTATGTTAATAAACATATTACTGTCATCAGTTTTTGCTTGTTTTATTTGCATAGACACAACACATTTTTTTAACATCCTCTTATACTTATATGTATGTTTATATGTTATTGTATCGTTTGATATTACGCAAAAACAGTTGTTGTACTGAAATCATTTATTGTCGTTAAAACTACAAAGGCACCACATTGACAACACATCGGTGGGTAAAGTTACATGGTCACAACAATTTGACTAGGAAATGCGTTCTTAAAATTAAGCAATCAGCAGAACAGAGTGCGAAATTTTAATCAAAGATTACCGGCAGTACCATAAAAATCTTATTTATATTTGAAATAAGTTAATAAATAATAAAGAGACCTCACATAACATAATATTATAAATGTAATTATAAAGAAAGTGTATTGTTCTGCATTGCCTTTAACCATAATTGTTATAAAATCTAAAAAGGGACTTTCAGAGTTGCTTTGCTATATAACATAATGTACTGTTCATAAAAAATAAAACAACGCCCATTAATTAACAGAATAACCATATTAACTTCGTTTTGCTACTGGCGTTAAGTAAAATAATAACATTCTTTAAAGAAATAGTAACATACTTCTTGCAATACATTAACAAATAAAGCTTTTTTTGTTATTTTATAGGTATTTATGAAAAAATAGCTATAAAAAAGTAATATTCTTTAGAGCTTACCAATAAGCACTAAAAAAAGTATTAAGCATGCAACTAACTAACTTATCTTAATATCTACTGCCCTTTTTAAACCGAATGACTATTTTAAATATCTCCTTAATTACACAAACAACTACTTTAGTAAAGAGTACTAAAACTTAAACTTATAACGCAACAAAAATACTTTTTATGCTCAAAAGCAACTTAACATTATCCCGCTCGTTGTTGTAATTAATAAAATTAAACAAAAACTATTTCTAGATAAAATAGCGTAACGCATTAGTAAAGCCTCATAATCTTACATATTTTTTTCAATACCTTTAATTTTGATTAAAAGCGACATCTTCAAAAAGAACACTTCTAAAAATATTACTGAGTTTCAGGTGAGTACCGTATACTAACGGCCATTCCCCTTTGCCCCAAAATTATCACCACCGGCGTTCACTTCGTTTCGTAAACCAGCTTGGTATTTAAGCAGCTTATCGTCGGCAGATCTCACCCGTTCCTGCAATATTTCCACAGTTCGATTCAATAGCTTGATCTCTTCTTGCAGAGGATAGATTTGCATATTCATCTGCATCAACTCCTTTTCGTGGGCCAGTTGTAAAGTGTGTAGCTGAAAAAGTTTAACCTTCAATTTTTAATAAAATATTAACGTGATTAAAATTCGCAGTTTTTTATCTGTGGAAAGTGGGCAGTTACCCGGACGGAATTAAAATTTTCCTACCGGTCATTTTTAGAAAATTATAAATTGATTAGACGCGTGTAGGACCTGGGGATCGAACCATATATTGTTAGAACAACAAGCCGATGAAGTACTTACGTCCTGAATGCGTTTTTTCTTAAGTATAATGAGATCTTCATTCGTTCTCTTTAGAGAAGCAAGTAACCCCACTCGTTCTTCCATAAGAGTTTCCTTTTGCTTCCGCGTTTCAGATAGTTCCGCTTCCATTTCATGGGTAACCTTTAACGCTAAACTTTCCGCCGACTTAGCTGGTCTGCACCCATTTCTTTTTTGTGGGTTTAAATTCAACAGAACTAAAAAATAAATAAAATCATTACATCAAACGTAAGTTTCGGTTTTAACTAGTCAGTAGTTCGGTCCGGTCAAGCCAATAGGTTAATTGTGGGACAAAAGAAATATGCCATCTGCAAAGCCTTATTTTGCTAGTGCTCAGGCGATACAAGAGACACGATGCATATCTACACCTACTTACTTTCTTTTTCTTTCTGCAAATTTCGAAGGTTCTTCTTCAGTTCTTCAGATTCGCGATTAATTTTAGAAATGATGCGTTGTTTGGCCGTTAGCTCCGTCTGCAAACCCTTTATTGTGGCTATGAGATAGCTATCTTCCTTCAATCGGTTAAATATCAAAGCTGAATTTTGCGTTAGTCTACTAACTGCTGATGATGCTCTATCGGCCTTCAAAAATGTCTGGGTGGCTACTGTGTGCTGATTTTTAGGCGCAGTTTGTATTGCGATGTCATGCAAATTAGCTTTATTAATTTTATTCTTTAGGTCAATATTAACTCTCTTATCTTCCATTAATTGTCTCTCGACATCAACTATATGCGTTTCATATTTTTGCTTCATATCGGTAAATTTTTCTTGTAGCGTCATCAGAACCTCGTGGAAATGACTTTCTTTGTCTTTTAGTTCTTTTTCTAATCGAGCTATACGTTCCTCTAATAGCTTCTTTTTATTATCTTCAACTGTTGACGACTTTGACGCAACTGAAAAACAATAAAAATATATTATTTTAATTAATGCAATAAAAATAGTAATAGTATTGTTAACATTGAAATAATACCGATGAGTGCCGACACAGAATCCGGGTGCTTTCTTTTTAATATCATCTCCATTTCCTTAACTTGTCTTTGCAAGTCTTGAATCACTGTAGTATCTTTTTCCCGTTGGATAGATAAGTTCTTTCTTTCATTTCTCTCTTTGTTTAACTCAGCTAGTGCAGTTTGTGCGCTTTCTTTCACAGATTTTAATTCTGCCTCTTTATTATGATACTCTTTTGCGAGTCTATTAACGAACTTCTCGCATTCGAGCAACTTCAAGTCTGTCCTTTGTTTTTCCTCTTCTAATTGACAAGATTTTTTCTTGAGCGCTTTATTATCATCGACAAGTTGCACGTTTAATAATTCAAGACTCTTCACTCTTTCATTTGTATCCTTTAGCTCTTCCGACAGCTGATCGTGTTTACAATTGTTAAGTTTTTTCGGCGTACCAGATGTAAATCGAGCCACTTTCGCGGCCTCTTTTTTCTTCGTATCTATGACGCTGGCGGAGAAAGGTCGAGTTTTTGACTTACGTCGTGTTTCCATGTTTTCCTTGCCACTTTTAGTGACGTGGTTGACCTAGGTGCACGAAGAAAATGAAAAAAAAAAAACAATCTTTAAATTGTTCGAACAAATTAAAAGGTAGTTTATCTACGCATTAAACAGTGGGTCGTTGACTCAAGAAATTTCGAGATAACTGTAAAAATGACTGTTGGAAAGCCAAACCGATTGATGCTGGATAATCGAAGAAAAACATGTTTACAGTAAACAGTTTGTCGTTATTAAGTAACTGCAACTTGGTGGCAATGACCGGATGACTTGAGGAAGAGGCTGCAAAGCTGGTTCCTAAACAAATATTACTGTTAAACCTGACTTGTTTTACCAATTAAACGAAAGCCCGGACATAAAATTGTGGGAGTAATAAGAGCTAATGCATTAAATTAATATTGCTGCTTAAATGTTTAATGTGTGTTAATTATTTGCTGCGTGCAAAGTATTTTAGCGGTAGCTAGTTAGCTATTTACATAATTCAACACAATAGTTACGTAGAGTGTCAATTACCTCATAATTAGATCTTTAAAAGCTTAGATATTACAATAATGTGCAAAAATATTAAACTAGAGCTTTTGAAAGGGTATGAATGTCCAAAACCATTCAATATCGACACTTTCATAAAACTTACTTGATACAGAGTAGGTACATAAAAAACTTTAATATATATCGAAGGATAAAGCATAATACAATAGTATATTTAAACTAAGTGTGCCAGCGACTTCCGCGTACAATAGTTATTTAGGACATCCAAATTGATTTTTTATAACAACCTCTTTATATTTATAAATGTAATCCCCCTTATTTATAAATTTAAGTCCCATCGTTCTTGCAAGTTAACCTTAAAAGATAGACATACAGTGTCGCGGACATTTTTTCTTATCATTTAAAGAGGAATCATCATTCCATTCAAATTTTTTGTGTACCTTTAACCGTTTTCGTAGCGTACGCATCAGAAATTCACAAAGATGAATCATTTTCCCCGTTAAATCCACATTTCTCGCTGTTTCTTCGCTCCTATAGGTCTCAGTGCGATATTTTAACCTTAATCTTCATCGATAAATACTCTATCCAAGACAAAAATAAAGTTTCATTTCGAACCAGTAGTTTCTGAGATTAGCGCGTTCTAACATACAAACAAACTCTTCAGCTATATATATTAGTATATATATAAAAAGATCTCTAGACATAGTGTAACTATTCTTCACGATGACCAAGTTCAGTAAAACGAAATCGTTTTGCTTCAATATTCTTAAAACCCACTGAAAATGATAAGGGTATAACTTAAAACTAATATATTCTAGTCACAATTATGTCGCTATAGCCAGTCCTTTCCAAAGTTAGAAACAAAATTTATTAGAATTGGTGTAATGAATTTATAAGTTTATTCTTTTGACTTTTGCATTCCTGCTAAACGAATAGCCAGTGCTATATATATATATTTATAATTACTATATAAGCGTCAAAGTTTTATTTTTTGTTAATATTATGTATTACAGTGCAATAGAAACACTTAAAATAAATAGAAATACATAATAATTGAGCTACGAAGTACCAATAATTATAAATAACTCGACTGTACTTAGTTTGAGATGCTATGAACATAATACAAAACACACGCATTTATTGCACAATGAATCAAAGCTTTAAAAGGGTGGTGTTGCATAGCTGGGACTTCCTCGGCAGGTGCTGGTCAGGTCAGTAGCCATGGAGGCGTGCTACAGAACGGCCGTGTTTCTACTGGTCACCACCGCGGTGCTCGGTTCACCGCTGATCAATGATCTTGAACCAGGAAAATGTAAGTATTTTTTAATTCACTATCCACAACGTACGCGAAATTACTCTAAATATGTATCGTATATATCAGACAAATTCTAGCTGTGTGGATTAAATGTCAAAACAATTGCTTTTATAGAAAAAAAAGTAAATAAACTTTTAAAGTAAAATATAAAAGCCATTCAAGAATTGCAACTAGAAGAAATAATTACATTCCTAATTTTAAACCGTTTTTATTTTATTTAAAAGTTTAACAGACATTTTTAATAATTAAAATTCGCGTTTTTTTTTATTATTTAGGAAAATGTTTATCTAATTATATGTGTCTGCCTGTATTTCTGTAAAAATAATAAATTTCGGATTTCGGAATTTCTATCAATTTATCGAATATCATATAAGTGAGTCCAAGTTACAAAAATAAGATTTATTACATATTCTCAAGATAATGTTATCTTTCAACTTACTGTTTTACAATGATATCTAAATATCTAGATTTTCGAGATAGAACTGTCATATTCTTTGGTTAGGTATATATAACATAAAATACACAGATTTGTATGTACCTACATAACTTCTAGTATTGTTCTAGTTAGGGTGATCCTAGAATGAATCACATTAAATGAAATGCTTCAGAACGAAGAATATATAAATAATAGGTATAAGTTAATTGATTTTAACTACGATTTAAGAAGCTGTAATTACTAAAGTTAAAAATACTTTTAATTTCATAAAACCTCTTATTTTTTAAAAGCTGGATGATGTTCAACGTTTTTTTTTTCTAATCGTTGACTAAGGACTAACTTACCGGAACTGTAGTATGTAAAATATTTAATTTTCCTCAATACGTGATTGAAATGTAATCGAAGTTGAAGAAACCTAATCAGTATGATCCGGTTACTTTTAAAACCAGGACGAAAACGCGTTCTGGCCTTCCAAAAACCATGACGTTATATTTTACAAGACGGTACTTTTTCCTTGTTTCATGTATTGTCTCATTCCTTATTATAACAGACAAAATAGGCCCAACTAAAAACACGCACGCCGTGAAGACAAAACGCTTATTCTAAATTCAATTATTCTTAAAAATCTATTTAAAGGCTTACATGGCCTGCAGGAAATTAGGTGACAAAACAGAACCAGAATACAGATAACTGTTAAACCGGACAAGATCAACTTGCCGAGCCAAATGAAAACACAGCCTTGGCCAGAGAAAGTCATTAAACATGTAGCATCAGGCACGAGCGACGCATTCTAATTAACATTCCTATTAGCGATGCATCATATGTTCCTTGATAGCGTACCACAAAAACCATTGTTGTTAGTAAATAAACGCGATAAATCACTGGAAAGTATCACTGTCTGTGACATTTGTAGGCGAACTTTCACGAAATTCAATTCTTTACTTTGACCTTAGCAATTACATACGCATTATTAACAAAACAAAAGCCAGATAGAATCTAGCAGCAGCAAGGATACCATTGAATTGAAATGACTAATCTAGCCATTATTGCTTCCCTACGTATTATGTTGATGTTAATTATATACCTGCAAAGCCTTAGCTTCTGTGCTTATTTAGTTTGCTTTTCTAACATGTAGATTGGCCAGAACGCCTCTCTGTGAAGCAACCAAATGAACCAGAAGTAGAGTATACAACTTTTGATGATGACTTAATCAGTACTACTGAAGCAACTGCGAAATTAACAGAAGACGAAGCTGATAACGCGATCCCAGAAATTATCTCTAGAGCTGCCGAGGCTGAAGCTGAAAATAAAGTAGACTATTCCGGAGCGCAAGTGTGGAAAGTTTCAACAGAAAAGAATGGAGTGAGAGCGGTCATTGGCCTTTTGCGACGAAGGAATTGTAAGTTCAACTTCTGCATTTCTATTTTATAAAAATACTTGTTCTATATTTCATTGATTATTTACGTGATCCTATTTTCCAGTAATCGCGACATGGGCAGGCAATCAATCCTATGTAGATGTACTGGTGAAGCCGCAAGCTGTAGAGAATGTCACAAGGGTCTTTAAACGGGAAAACATTGACTTCAACATTATCATCGATGATTTACAAAAGAGAATCAATGAAGAAAATCCTCCGCTGGATGACCTTGAAGTCGAACTGCAGGACAGACGAGGTAATATATCACACCTCAATAGATTATGATTTATAAGATCTATTTTCAAACGTAGCAAGGAAAATCGATGAGAATATTCCAGCATCCGTGTGGTTTTGTTACAGCTAAAGCTTACAATTTTTGGCGTTACAGGGCAAACCGACGCCGATTAGGCTATATAGGCGCCTACATGGGTTATAATTCTCTCGATATACCCATGGAGTATTGGCCGAATGCGAACTGGGGTTCGTTCTTGAAGTAAAAAAGCACCAGAATAGTTCGCACCGTCGTGTCTAACTGATCGTTTATTAATTGCGGTTTCTGTGTTAATTTTTGGATTTTTGCGCATTTAGCATGGGGCAACTGTAAATAAGTGTAAACTGTGTGCTAACATTGGAAAGTTGTAGCATTCGACGTGGTAAAGGGCGAGAGAAACGTAGCAAATGGTCTAATCTGCGGGACACACTTTTTTTTTGTCGTATTCTAACCATTCAAACAAAACAAACGTTCAAGTTTTGCACCATTAACCAATGTTAACGTATTATCTGTATTCATGCTAGCATAGGTACTTATGAGTATTGCAATTACAGGTCATCGCATGACGTGGAAGCAATATCATAGAATAGAAGACATATATGGTTTCTTGGACTATTTGGCCAAGACCTATCCAGCTATTATAAGCGTTAGGTCTATCGGAAAATCTTATGAAGGACGAGATCTGAAGGTATGTAGATTTACCAAAAAATAAAAGACATTATCATCGATTAATATAGTAGGTCTTTTTATAATTTATAGTTTTGTTTTAACAGGTGCTACGTATATCCAACGGACAACCGTCTAACCGAGCAGTATTCATAGACGGTGGCATACATGCGCGGGAGTGGATAAGTCCAGCCACTGTCACCTACTTCATTAATAGATTCGCTGAAAACTTCCAAGACGAAGATGACGATATTAAAAATATAGACTGGTAAAGAGTTCTCTACGATATTTTAGTATCCGTATTAACTGTAACGAATATTTATTTTGTTATAGCGCGAAAAGCGTATAGCATAACTATCAAGTAGCTATTTTATTTAAATCTAAAACTTTTTATTGCCCTAATGCTAAATTGCATAATAAAATAAGAAATATATAAGAAATGGCAATCGGTACCAGTCTCAGCTGTGCTTCTTAAACCCAGCAGCACTCAGATGGCTAGTCTGAATTTCAGAGTAGCCCGGGTTTTAACTATTGGTTTTTATATTGATAGCGCGATAATTTTTTATACACAAACATAGAAATTCTTAGTCTCTTATTAACAGATTGCGTTTTTCAACATACTTATCCTTTTCCTCATAGGTATTTCTTGCCCGTGGTAAACCCGGATGGTTATGAATACACCCATACTGCTGATCGACTTTGGCGGAAAAATAGGAAACCAGCGATCGCCAGACAGTGTTATGGAACCGATCTAAACCGCAATTTTGGGTAAGCAATATACCAATGCAAAAATCTCGTTTTTGTGCCTCTGTATTTTAAAATGTCCCAACAGACAACGACTGACAATAATAAGTAAAGCTTATTAATTTATTAAATAATAATTTTCTTTTTGATAGATACCGTTGGGGAGGCAAAGGCTCTTCATCAAACCCTTGCAGTGACATTTTCAGGGGAAGTAGAATGTTTTCAGAACCAGAATCTAAAGCTGTATCAGTAAGTTTACATAATATAAACCATAACAAAGTTATAAGTATCCACTACATTATTGTATAATGCAATTAAGAAAGCCCTTCACTTTAAAGTCAATTGATTTAATTAGATCTTTATCTATCAATAACTTTAGATTAGACAAGAGTTAAGTATATGCAAAATAGATTGTTATAAATGATAATTATTATTCCAATGTGTTTTTATAGGAATTCATCAAAAATGCAGCTGCTAACTTTACTGCTTATCTGACATACCACAGTTATGGGCAATACATTTTGTACCCATGGGGTTATGATAATGCAGTACCTCCAGATCACAAAAGTTTAGATGACGTTGGAAAGGCAATGGCTACTGTAAGTAATGTAATTTGTTACACTATTGTATGTGTATATGTGATTGATGCAATAAAATATAATAATAAGCACTTTACTTGTACATAAAAAAAGTAAATTTTTAAATATAATTTTAAGACTACAATAATTTGTGAAGTCTATCAAAAAGAAAGCCTAACAGAAACCATAAAAATAGCTCAAGTGTTTAGAAGCAGTTTAAAAATCTCAGCTCTATAAAAAAGATATATTAAGATAGTTTTCTATAATAGTTTTGAACTTAACAGGCTATTCAACAAACTGGAGGATCACAATATACTGTGGGATCATCAAGTGGGGTATTATATCCAGCTGCTGGTGGCTCCGATGACTGGGCAAAGGGACAAGGAATCAAGTATTCATTCACCATTGAACTAAGTGATACTGGTCGGTATGGGTTCATCCTACCAACATCATTTATAGAACCTGTTGCTAAGGAGTCACTGGCTGGTCTTAGAGTATTAGCTAGCTATGTCAATAAATATTAATTTAAACTTTTTTCGTTAATTAAGGTTGTGATTAAAATATAGTGTATAAGTAAATTATTTTTAGTAATTAAAGATTATTTTATTTTCTTACCCGTCCATTAAAAATTTTATTGCCCTCTCTACATGGTTCAGGGTCATTGGACTTTGTTACTGTTATTTCTGGTATTCCAGATGAGTCACCTAGATACGCAACAGGGTTAGCAACCACTGGACTGTTTTTCAATAAATTTTCAGTTTCATTAGCGATATCTTCTGCCTTCTTTAGAATTAAGTCGACATCGTCTTCGTCCGTTATTTCTACATCCTTATTGTGCGACAACTTCTTTATTTCATTAAATATCATTTTAATTTCTTCATCGCTATCTTTAAAACCCTCGCAGGTTTTTTCTAAGAGTAGGAACTCTTTATTGCTATTATCACAGGATTTTATATCTTTAGAACTAGAAATCGACGACATTCTTCAACAAAGTTATGTAAATTTTAATAATATATTAAATATTTTTTCCCTTCTTTGGATAGATACTTCGTGTACTTTTAAATACTGAAACAGACTTATATTAGCAATATTTTGAATTTTGGTTGCTAGGCAACGATTTTAAAAAAGTGACATTGGCATTTTACTACTTTTGACAACTGACAATGATCATCGATTTCTTTTTTTTCTTGGATTGGATGGATTCTACAAATGTCGTATACTCATTCGAAAAATGACAAAGTGTGGTAGTATAAAATATTTTTTTTTAACCAATATTTTTTTTTTTTTAAATATCATATGTCTTATGGCGGCTCTACACGATGGCGAAGATGTTGGCGAACATTGTGGCAAAGATTGTGGCCGAGAGATTGTGATGGCGTCCACACGTTGGACGGTCCATCAGTTTGTTTCGGTTCGGGCCAATGTGCGGACGAAAATAATATATATTTTCGTCCGCACATTGGCCCATATTTGTTGTTAATTTCACATCCACGCCCTCATGTCAATGTCATCCAAGTGACAAAAGATGTTTGTTTGATTCTACAGTGTATTTGTACTTAATAGAGTAAATAAAAAAATAAGTAGAATGTCTAGTTGTTTTTATTTTTATGATCATTATTTTTCGGATTCCATAGGCAGTTTTCAGCTGGATAGAGCTTTATGAAGCGAAAAGCTTCTTCATTACTCATACTTGCCATAATCGTATTCGATATCAATAAATCCTCATTTAAAAGAAACGTCCGCACAGAATGGGCGCTCGCTGCAAACTGAACGTGTCGCCAACGTGTTGACGATACGGCCATCACTGTGCCACAATCCCGCCATAACCCTTTGATCTTTGTAGAAAAACCGACACCACACGGATTTGCGCCAATGCGTGGGCCAATAGTCCAATATCTACCAAATAGATCACCAACCCCCGTTCTACACGATGGATGGTTATTGGCTATTACATTCGCCAATATCTTCGCCATCGTGTAGAGCCGACATTAGTCAAATACATGTAAAACATGACATAATATTTGTCCTTCTGCCTCAAAGTCAATTGTCAATTATCAAATATGCCGAAATCTAAATGTATTATTATTCATTTTGTAAAATTACGATACATACAATAAATACGTTTAAATTTATGGGATTGCTAGTTCAAGCGTGTACTAAATAATATTTATGCATAGTTATCATATTCATATACTGCTAAGATCTACGTTGTGTCAGAATGTCGGTTCCACCACAAGCATTTGTAAATAAAAATAAGAAGCATTTTCTTGGCATTCCTGCACCACTTGGATATGTTGCTGGTGTGGGTAGAGGGTAAGTAGTTATATACAACTTATGCAAGATTCTTAAATATTTTAAATGGTGTGTTTGTATTATAACCCTTAAGAATGCTTCTAAACTTAAGTCTTTTTCAAGAGTGATTTGCTTGGTTTCCTCTATCTTTTATTATATTTAGTACTAAGTCATTCCTTTTAGAAGTATGATTTCTTTTTCAGTGCCACTGGGTTCACAACTCGATCTGATATTGGTCCAGCTAGAGACGCCAATGATGTGTCGTAAGTATGAATTATTTGGTTTGTATAATAATTGTCCATATTCTGCTAATATTAAATACTTTTTACTCATCTTATAGTGATGATAGACATGCACCCCCAGCTGCTAAAAGGAAGAAAACTGAGGAGGAAGATGACGATGAAGACTTAAATGATTCTAATTATGATGAATTTTCTGGATACAGTGGTTCTTTGTTTTCTAAGGTGATATTAAAATTATACATTGTTGCTATGTTATAGTTGTTTAATATTTTGTTTGCTGTGTAATTGTATCTTAAATTTTAGTAAGTTATTGTAAAGCATGTGTTGTTCTACAGGACCCTTATGACAAAGATGATGCAGAGGCTGACGCAATTTATGAATCCATTGATAAAAGAATGGATGAGAAAAGAAAAGAATACAGAGAGAAACGTCTCAAAGAAGATTTAGAGAGATACCGTCAAGAAAGGTGAGTTACAACATTTCTAAATATTAACAGATATTACTTATATATAAATATTGAAAATTGTATCATATTTATACTATTGTTATTAATTTAGTTTTTAAGTAGTATTAGTAAATTTAGTTATTAATTAAAATGATGATAAAAATCATCAATTCCTTTCAGACCTAAAATTCAGCAACAATTCTCCGACCTCAAGAGGGAACTGAAAACAGTATCTGAAGATGAATGGTCAGCTATACCAGAAGTAGGTGATGCACGTAACAGAAAGCAAAGAAATCCAAGAGCAGAAAAATTCACCCCATTGCCGGATAGTGTGCTCTCGAGGAACCTTGGTGGAGAATCTTCATCTTCAATTGATCCAGGATCAGGGTTGGCGTCTATGATGCCTGGAGTGGCAACACCTGGAATGTTGACACCTTCAGGTAGGTTTGCATTTAGCTGTCCACAAATTAAGTTTTAATATACGGAGGGAAAATGAATATTAATTATTATTGGGTATTGTCTTTTAATACTTTTATCTTTTCTGTTATAGGTGACTTGGATCTCAGAAAGATGGGTCAAGCCAGAAACACATTGATGACAGTGAAACTGTCACAAGTATCAGACTCTGTGACTGGCCAGACTGTAGTGGATCCAAAGGGATATTTAACTGATTTACAGTCAATGATTCCAACATATGGTGGAGATATCAATGACATCAAAAAGGCCAGGCTTCTATTGAAGTCTGTTAGAGAAACCAATCCTAACCACCCTCCAGCGTGGATTGCTAGTGCAAGATTAGAAGAAGTTACAGGTAATAGCTATTTTAAAGTTGTGAGGTTGTTGTTAAGAGTTAATTTCATTGTTGATAATATATATTTTAATAGTTCAGACTTAAAATATTTAAAGAGCAAGTGGCTTTCTTTTTTTGAAATGATTTTATGCTTTATAAATAAGAGTATTATTTTATGGGACAAAGACACTATTTATACTTACATTATTTGTTATTATTTATGTATCACTTTAATTTCTGATAACACAGCCTTTTATCGGTGTCGCCAAAAAATAAAAAAATACTTTAATTTAATCATAATAAATAAATGTTTTATTAAAGGAAAGTAATTATTTAACTTTCTTTATAAGTACAAATATATTATTTATTGTATGATAATAAATTTCTAATATTAAAGCTTCATTGTCTGAGTGCTGCTATCACATTCGTCTAAAACATCGGGTTGATATATTTAAAAATATTTTTTGGCGATTTAACCCATTGAATGTGTTTATATCATTTATTTTGTTATCACTTATAGGAAAAATTCAAGCAGCACGTAACCTAATCATGAAAGGCTGCGAAGTTAACCCGAGCAGTGAAGAGTTGTGGTTGGAGGCAGCTCGTCTACAGCCACGCGACACTGCCAGAGCGGTTATTGCACACGCTGCAAGAAATCTACCCCATAGTGTCAGGGTGTGGGTGAAAGCTGCTGACTTAGAACAAGAAACTAAGGTAATGTAGCCAGCACAGTCAGATGAGCTGAATCTGAAAGAACTGAAAGTATACATACAACCTGTCATAAATACACAAAACAAGCTATATTCTGAATTCTCAAGATCCTGTTAGATAAAAAAATATATCACTATATGAGCATAGGTTAGGCATAACATAGGTTATATAAACATATTAACTTTTTTATATGAAATAAATTTTAAATTCTAATACATGTATACCTGTACCTTTGCAATTTTTTATAGGGGAATGGTTAGCAGTAATAAGTGTGGCTTTATTCACCCTCGATCCCTAGTAGAACATTTAATAATAATAACTTGGACAAACACAATTAATAATAACAAACACATTATCAGACACTTATTAGACTTTTAGTTTTAAATTAGCTATTTGAAAATCCTCAGGCTAAACGTCGTGTATTCCGTAAAGCTCTGGAGCATATACCAAATTCGGTTCGTCTATGGAAAGCTGCGGTTGAATTGGAAAACCCTGAAGACGCCCGCATTTTACTCTCTCGGGCTGTTGAGTGCTGTCCAACGAGTGTGGAACTCTGGCTAGCGTTAGCCCGATTGGAAACGTATGAAAATGCAAGAAAAGTTCTGAATAAGGCCCGTGAAAACATACCCACTGATAGACAGATTTGGGTCACGGCTGCTAAACTAGAAGAGGCGCATGGTATGAATCAATTTTATATCTTTAACTAGTAATAAGTAATTGCAATATAGTGGTAAATACAATATCGATATTCTTACATGTTTGCTTTTAAAATGTGCTGAAACACCATTGACTTATACGCTTCCGTATAAGTCAATGAATGATGAATGTTTCAATGAGAGGTCCTCAGTTCAAATCTTATAACAATACATTTTTAGTGGACAGGGAATAGTAACCTAATTAAAATCGATTTTATTTATAGACTTACTTCCGGCTTTACGGAATAACGGAAACATACGCCCCACGGCAAATAGGAATTTCACTACTAACACGTTAATACGGCGTTACTATTTGCCCGTCTTTTTAAATTCTTGTAAAAATTTAAAACCAGACTTTACGCTACGTCTGTCTTATAAAATGGAAGCATTTAGTTTAATATGTTTATCAATAATATTTACTTATTTATTATTATTTACTTTTACTTTGAAAATTCCGTTACAGTTTCTTGTTTTTACAGGTAACACTCACATGGTAGAAAAGATTATAGACCGAGCCATAACATCGTTGAGTGCAAATGGTGTCGAAATAAACCGTGAACATTGGTTCAAGGAGGCTATGGAATCTGAAAAATCTGGGGCTGTACACACTTGCCAGGTAATGCCTATAATAAATGTTTTTTTTACTTGACCCTAAAGATCGCTACTAAAAATATACTTTAAGATTCCATAATACGTAAATGGACATAATGCCACCTCTATTAAATCCTATAGAAGCCTAAAAACTGTTTAACACTTAGTTTAATAGATTCTGATACCTTTGTAGGAGATGAACCACTTTTCCAAAAACGAAACATTTCTTGTCTCTGTTAAGATTCCTGTCTCTGAAAATAGACGTGTAGCATTTGAAGATGGCTAATTCAGAAATTGTAACAAATAACATTTTCGGGTTACTTTAAAGATTGTGTTTAGTTTTATCTAAAGGTATCAATACTATTTTACAGGCAATAATTCGTGCTGTTATCGGCCACGGTATTGACCCAGAAGATCAGAAACACACATGGATGGAGGATGCTGAAGCAGTAAGAACCTTAAATAATAATATTGTTAACAAGTCAGTAGAAACTACTGCCAATATAGTGAAAAACAATATTTTGCATTAGAAAGCAATTGTAGTAATTTGACCAAAGTCCTAAAAAACTTTTTTGGTTAGACAGGACACAAAGACAAACATTACACTGTCTAAGTCTATAATAAGACATAATATATAGACATATTTCTGAAAATATTTCAGTGTGCTAACGAAGGTGCCTACGAATGCGCACGCGCAGTCTACGGTTATGCGCTATCAGTGTTTCCGTCTAAAAAGTCGATATGGCTGCGGGCGGCGTATCTTGAGAAGCAGCACGGTAGCCGCGCTAGCCTCGAGGCGTTGCTGCAACGGGCAGTCGCTCATTGTCCCAAGTCAGAGGTGCTTTGGCTGATGGGGGCTAAATCTAAATGGCTCGCTGGTGAGTTCTTGTGCAGTTTTACCTAATCTAATGATATTATTTGTATTTTGTTTACATTTTAAATATAACAAATTATATGAAATGTGTCACTATCACTTCAATACTTTGTATCTAGTACAAAAATACATATTAATTTCGTTGTGTCATCAAGCAGGACAGAAACGTAATTATAATATATTCTGAGACGGTACTTTAATTTATGTACGTTACATATTCATACTAAACTTTTAATATTATATTTTTGCCAATATTAGAAGTTGAACAAAGTAACATCAAATTTAAAACATATTTTTGTATTAATTTGTTGTTAGTAATAGTTATAAGTAAATTTATTCATATATAATTATAGTTTATGAACTTCTTATTACGTATTATTATAAATCTTGGTTTCTTTGTTTAAAGTATATATTATTGTGCAGGCGACGTACCCGCCGCCAGAGGAATCCTGTCGCTGGCTTTCCAGGCAAATCCTAACTCTGAAGAGATCTGGTTGGCCGCTGTCAAACTCGAGAGCGAGAACAAAGAGTATGACAGAGCGAGACGGCTGCTCGCTAAGGCAAGAGCATCGGCACCTACACCTAGGGTAAGTCTAATTTATATACTAAAATCTTCGTATACCCGATGTTTATGACAGAGCAATGAAATTATTTACTTACATACTATATGTGAGTTGTTTAAAAGGTAAAAATTTAAGTTTAAACCTAAATGAATGCTAGTTTTGTATCATAGCAATGATGCCAGTTGATATGAAGTTATTATTAATATTATTTTTATTATTATTTATCTATACTAGCTTAATTAAACAAAATACAAAAATGATTTATAAACTTTTTCTTTCATATGTTTTGTTTCTTAACAGTTATACAGTAATTAACGGTTGTCAGTACTTCTTAGATGTTATTGATAAAGAACTTTCCATTTTTTTACCACAATTACTTACATAATTTAACTTAACTCTAAAAGTGAAAAATACAAAATTGCGTACAACAATTATATACAAACACCGCATGTAAAGTTAAACAAAAGCGGGTGAAGAGTAAATTGTATAAAAAACATTATGATATACATAATAGATTATTACTAAGATATACAATAGAATTACTAAAGGTACAGAAATGTACTACTCGCCTAAACTATAGACAGTATACAGGTACAGAATTTTTATTTCGATTATAGGTGATGATCAAGTCGGCGAAATTAGAATGGGCTCTTAACAATTGCGAGGAAGCTCTTAAACTGCTAGACGAAGCGATAAAGGTGTTCAGTGATTATGCCAAGTTGTACATGATGAAGGGTGAAATTGAAGAACAACTTGGCAAGGATGATGACGCTCATAACACTTATTCACATGGGGTAAGACATAAGTCACTTTATTTTTAAAATAGTCTAACATCTATTGAATACTTAGATTTTTTTAGTCTTGTAAGTAAACTGATATTAGTAAACACTTTTAACGGTTTGAAACGCATTGGTTAGTCAAGCATCTAAACGTCAATTCTTAGTTACAACAACACCAACTATTATTTTTCGCGTTTAAAACCGCTAAAAGTTTTTGCATCTAAAGTGATTTTGTCTTAAATATTATGGTAATATTCCTTGCTGTTTTAGTTGAAAAAATGCGCCACCTGCGTTCCAATGTGGATACTTTTGTCGAGACTAGAAGAGAAATTGAAGCATGTCACTAAAGCTAGATCCGTTCTTGAGAAGGCGAGATTACGAAATCCAAAGAATGCAGAACTATGGTAAGATTTATTTATTTAAAATAGATTTTTTTTCTTATGCATTACATAGTTAAATATAATGTCATGTCAACAATTCCGTCCGGGTCACAAACAACCGTTATCTTATGTCTATAATAACGTTTAATTTTCACTCTATCTTTGTGCGTTATTAAATAAATATAAAAACTATCAACAACATTCATATATTCTTTTTAGGTTAGAGAGTGTGAGATTAGAACGACGTAACGGCAGTGCTGAGATAGCTAATGCAGTGATGGCGAAAGCGCTTCAAGAGTGCGGAACCGCGGGCAGGTTGTGGGCAGAGGCGATATTCATGGAGTCAAGGCCGCAACGTAAAACGAAAAGTGTAAGTAGATTATAATTTAACCTGTTTTGGTTTATTTAGACGATAACAATTGTTAAAAAAAATTGTTATTATTATTACATCGTTATTTTTATTGTATTGATTTGATTATTTTTTGCAGGTGGATGCATTAAAAAAATGCGAACATGACGCATATGTCCTGTTAGCGGTCTCACAACTATTTTGGAGTGAACGAAAACTGACTAAATGCAGAGAATGGTTTAATAGAACGGTGAGTCATTTCATATATTGTCACGCTTGGTAATAATTCACACCCCTGAACCACAGAATAAAACAAACAACAATAATGTGACATGAATTCCCCACAAAAAACAAATATTTATAATATGACGTCAACAACAAGTGTCATGTGTGGGTTTAGCAGTAGTTAATAAATATTATCATTACAAGTATAAACGTTAAAATTGTATAATTGTATTGTATTTTAATGATAAATTTGTACGAGACTGCAAGATATTGAGCAAACTGTTGTACAATTTTAATTAGGGAACCTCTATTCTTTGTTTAGTTTAATCCAAACAATTGGTTAATAAGTTACACTTTCCTACTATTATAAATATTGTAAAAGAAACATTTACTTTTTACACTAAGAAATAATTTTCTTATTAATATTATTTTGCTGAAATGACTAACCTACTTGTTCCTAAATACAGGTCAAAATCGACCCAGACTTAGGCGACGCGTGGGCGTACTTCTACAAGTTCGAGCTTATACACGGCAACGAGCATCAACAGGAGGAAGTCAAGTCTCGCTGCAAGACAGCTGAACCGCACCACGGCGAATACTGGTGCAAGGTCTCCAAGGACATAGCCAATTGGTGCTTCAGTACGGAACAGATTCTGCTACTCGTAGCTAAGAACCTACCCGTGCCTACGTGAAGTGGATATTTCTCAAAGACTACTACTAAGTGCTAAGATAAATGTCCAAGAGAAAAAGAGAAGAAATTCCCGTGCTAAGTAGTCCTATTTGGCTACTATACTCTACTGTCATCTAAACTAAATTATAAAGGTGAAGTTTTTTTTTTATAATAGAGGTAGCATATTCCGAAATCTAGACTGAAAGCAAAATGCGATTCAACTTCACAGCTGTTTCATCTGTGACACCAATAATTTCAAATTATATTTTCTGTTTGCATATTGCTTTAAACTGTGTAATAATATATCTTAAATCTATGTATATTCATAGACCTAAGATAGACATATGCGATAGTTCAGGCGTAAGAGACGATGTGAAAACTATCTATCTCTTTCTGACTAATGAATTAGTCTATTTATTATCTGTATCATGAAAATCTAGATAAATGTAGCATTCTGCTTTGTGATTTTTTTTTTATATAATCTGTATGTCATTGCTGTTTGATGTTTGAAAAGTTATTGACGTTTATGTTTTATAGGTTACTTGATAACCTAAAAAATTAAACTTTGATAAAGCGTTTGTACCAATGTCATTTCGTCTAAAATGATTACTATGTACGTAGTAGTTATTTTTATAGTGGTATAAGACAAATTCCTTGTAATTAAGGAGATATTATTCTCAATTGTAGATTAACATTATTAATGATTCGTAATAATGCAATTGAACACGTGTCTGTGTACGCATTACTTGAATTTGGCCAATGCCGCACCCGAAATATTTTCTAGGATAGTCTGTAAATAAAATAAGTTTCAGTGTCAAACGTTTAAAAGAAGGCGGTGTGTATTGTATTTAAGATCGCAAGAAGTAATACAAAGATGATGTCTGTAAGAATGGTATTACAAATAGATACACATGAATTTTCGTTACTCCGATTACATGTTTGTAAAATAATGACAAAAAAACAAGAATACATTAAAGAAGTAATATTGTTTGATTTACCTTTATTGATAACTCTAAGTTACACTTACGTTTTCTTAATATCGAGATTTTCGTCGGTTTTAAATACGTTAAATGGTGAAACTGAGAAATGTCATTACGATTAAAACATCGCGAAAACATAAGTACAACCAGGGAATTACATTATATTATTAACACTATGAAACTAAGATATTTTAACGGGCAGCGATATCAAATTATCGTTTTACGCACCGTAAGGTGTAAACACCTTTTAGAAATAAAAGTTCTATAAATAATTTTCGGGTTTGTGTGTTTGAATTATAAGCGGGATCTGGCACAGTGCCAGTTGTCGAATGCGAGTGAGTGCGCTAAATAGCTCGGAGGAGCACGGATTTTGAGATTCCTCTCGAAGACGAGAGAAATTTTCAATGAACGTACAGTTAGTGTGATATAAGTGAGGATGTCGCCAAAGTGTCCCGTGCCGCCGTTACAGGAAACCTCCTTATCGTTAGTAGCGAGACAATTGATTCATACCTTATCGAAAATATCGTCCGATGAAGATGTCGCGCTACACTTTACAATGGTATCATCCTACTACGAAAGTATGGGGGTGACGAGCGATATATTTCAAGATCTTATAAACCTCATCCTCACTTCCGACTACCTAGATCCGGCAGTCAGATTCTTCACCATGAAATTGCTGCTCAAGGAAAACGTCAAAAGTCTAGCCACGGGTATGTTCCCGTGTCAATTTTACAAGAGAATTCTTGAACTGATTGTGGAACAAGGTCGGCACCTAACGTCTCTCAATTTGAAAGGTGTGTGGGTGAAAGATGAAAATCTACCGCTTATGTACGAAATAATCAAGAACTTACCTAGTTTGACAGCTCTCAGTATACCTTATATAGCTAACGATGAAATCCTCAAGTACATAGGAGAAAATAACAGGGTCCTTAAGATACTAGATGTCTCCGGAGAAACGGATATCACGGAAATTGGAATAGATGTGATGCTGTCCAGCAATCCACAACTTACTCAGAGTCTGTCAGTCGTCAATATCGGAATGTACGGTGAAGAAAACGTAGACCACACAGATGTCGCGTTATTAATACGTCGACTTCCGAATCTGACTAATTTAGGCTGTTATTCTTACGTCGGGAAAGCCGTTAACTATGTTTACAATCACGACTGTCCACCTGGGTTTAAATCGAAACTACAATATATTCACGATGTACAAACTAATTCTAGAACGATGAGAGCAATAATAGCTATATGTCCTTCGGTAGATACAATTTATTTAGAGGAACCCGACCAAGGCGTACTTCAGCAGATAAAGGATTTAAATTGCTTGAATAAGATCAAGTTAAATAAATTCCAGTGCCATGAGTTGCATCAATTGTTAGATAAAATAGGGCATAAGATATCAACGCTTATGTTGTCTGGTTCTCTGGGCTCTTTCAACTTCACGAGAATAGCCGAAACTTGTCCCAATTTAGAGAGTCTCGAATTCTACCAATGTCAGACGGCCACGCACGAAGAGGAGGTACCATTTAACAAATTAGAACATATCGAAATAATACAAGGGAACTTGTCGGGATCGTGTCTCAAATATTTAATGACGGCGACTCCTAAGTTAAAGAAGTTGATTATCGGAGACGAGATCAAACTTGATGATAATGATATGGCAAGGTAAGCAGCGTCAACATTAATGTATCCAGATTATTTCAAAACAATATCAATCTAGCTTAACTAGCTTATAATACTGAAAGTGAATTCAATCATGTGACGTCTTATAAAAAAATAAAGTGTTTTAATTATCATTTCATTTTCTAAAGCTTTTTGAAACGTTAGATTTTATTTAAATCGTGAGAATTTTTCAAATGAAATATGTCTGTCTTTTTTTCAGAATATTGCGCCGTTACAAATTCCCCTACTTAGAAGCTGTTTGGTTCCCGAACGCACCAAGATTATCACGGGACACAGTTGAAATGCTCATGGAATCCTGTCCAAAACTCCAAAGCCTTGGACAGTTGAGCGGTTGGAATTATACGCCAGATGATATGATGCTTATGAGAGCAATTATAGCCAGTACCAATACGGACATGGTGTTGACACCTCTTGGTATATTTCAGCAAGGGACGTAACACAATGAAAGAGATGTTGGATGCATTCGTTAACGCTTATTTGCAATTTTTTAAAATATAATAAAGGTTTTGATAAGTTTTTGTATAACTTTAACGTGTAAAATAATTGATGGTAGGTAAATGAAATTCTTTATCAATTTGACTTGTCCACCTATTTGACTATTGGTGATGTATAACCTAATAATCACCGAATAGTGGATTCGATCTCCAAAACATATTTACAATTCTTCTGAAACATGTTGGACTTCGTCTGGATATTTGGTCCGGGTCACGAACCAGTCTGTGGATTTCCGAATCCGTAGCCAAAATAGGGCGACAGCGTTATATGGCTGGAGTATTTCACACACAACCCCCCCCCCATCAAGTAAACCTAATGCTTGTTTGTCCTCTTCCATATTAGAAAATATATATTTTGATACGCTAGCAATGCAACTACTTCTCCTAGCTATCGGTATAATATGATGTAGTAGTATCACTATGACACTCGCTTATTTAAAGAATTTAATTTCAAGACTTTATTAACAAAGAAACACGCGACAAAAGTCATTAAAATTTTATTATCCAAGTTATGTACAATTACTAATTTTATAAAACCTACACACCTTTGGCTTTTCTCTTTGCTCATGTAACCATGTAGTATCTACCAACTGGTAATACTATCGTATTTTTAATGTTTTTAATCACATATAAGTACTTAACAAAATAAGCTGCCGAAAAAACATACTAAAAATATATTTAACCTATTTATTCGATTTGTGAACGTGGCGACTAATATAGTCAAATTCATTTGTTTTCTGCTCTCAATTCCTTTTTTAAACTTTTCAGGGAAACATTTTCACTGTCACTAGACGGCTGACGTGTATTCTTGGTATTCTTCTTTCTACTTTCAATTCTCATTTTAAGCATTTTCGCTTCATCGGCACATTTCGTCGTAATAATGCTCCTGAAAAAAGGCTCAATATATAGCTGCTACTTAAGTTTATTAGAATCGTAATCTTGAACAAGAAAATTATTATACCTGACTAAATTTTCTTTCACGTTAAATCGCGATGTTATTTCAATAATAACATCGGAAACGATTTTCGGATCCAAGCACATCTTCGCAGGTTTATTTTGGAAGGCGGGTGATCGCTTTCCGGTTAATGAATGTGTTGCTAGAATCCTAAAAAAAAAATATCGTTAATGTTTTCAAATTTCATTTTTAAAATACCCACATAAAATCCAAGATTGTGAATGTTTTAACCGTCTCGGAAACGATGCTAGTAGTAGAGTCCTTGTTGCGATGGTGTAAGACTTCCAATTAACTTTCCTATATTTATCCTTGTGAATCAGGGTTTTGCCGCTTCCGATGGGTACCTGTAAATTATTTGCATAATTGCTTAATTCGCTCAGCTCTCCAACAAAGAACCTGTAATATTAACTAACACAAAGTTGTTTCTTACCCATTCTTGTTGAGCTTTATCTTTTGCCTTTTTCTCATTGTTAATCGTTTGCACTGTTTTATATTTATTCGTGATTAATACGTTATCATCTGATCGATTAGATTCCTCGCTCCTCGGGCTCAGCGGTGGATCGTCAATACTTTTTTCCTTCTCTTCAACGTATTTGCCGTAAAAGATCCTCTTAACAGATTGCTTCTTTGGCTGCAGCTCCCTCAGTATTCTAAACAATTCTTGGAACGTTGTATTGATTTCAATTATATCTTTTAACTTTACCTCGACCGTCTCGTTCTCATTTTTCACTTTAATACTTGGTGGGGGCATATTTTTTCTCGTAGAATCTGGGAAAAATTTCTTCGATGCCTGCGTCACTGTTTCTCTGTACTTTCGTTTGCGAGGTTTACTTTTGTTGTGATTGTTATTCATTTGTCGTTCTTGTAAAACCTTAACTACGGCGTTAGGTCTGTGCACCGGTGTTAACTCTTTTTTACTGTGCCGCTTTTTTACGAGTAATTGCCGGAGGTATTGTTGCATCCCATTGTTTTTGTTCTTATTTTCTACCTGGAAACATAATTCATATTACAATAATACAAACAAAATTTGAGCTGAGTTATAAAATATTGTTCAGAAAAAGGTTTTTAAACATTGAGTGTTGTAGGTATAGATAAAGTTTTAAAGATTTAAATTTATTTTACTTTCTTTAAAACTATCTTACTATTTTTAACTTTGAATTACCTCATCATTAGATTCATCTGAAGAACTTTCGTCGGTGGGCTCCCAAGATGAAGCGCTTGGTGAAAAATCTTGCTCTTCATTAGGTAAACTACCCCCAGCGCCAGAATCATTGTTACCGGTACTTGCTGCTGATCTTCGCGCGTGTGCATCTAAATATTAATTTGTCTATTTTGAAAATATGAACTATGAATTACATACCTTTTTTATAACATTTGAACCAAATATATATAAATTAGGCGAGAAAAAGTAAATAGGATTTACTTTTTCTCGCCATAATTTAGAAAAGACTACAAGCGGGATGAAAATTGCAAACACGTTATAATATTGATGTAATAAAAAAAACTGGTAGATTGATAATTACTTACAATCCTTCCTTTCCGATTCTTTGCCGCTTTCGTTCCGATCAGCAGTAATAGCTAGATTCTTCATATCTCCATTGAATTTAGATCCAGAAGTGTTGCTGCGACTCGTACTCCAATCTGTTAGCAACCACTTTTCAATATTGTTTTTCGATGACATAGTTTTATAAAACTACTATTCGCTTGAACAACCGGTAAGTATATGAACACCCCACGAAGTGCATTACGAAACTCAGGTAAAAGTTTCATTGCACCCTTACTGCAGTCTATTGAAGCCCCCGCCCTTCTTAGCCGGAACAATACCGTTTCGCCAACTGCCTGAATGAAAAAAAGGGCCTTTTTGCAATCTATTTCTTCGTAAGTTTCTAAGCAGATCTAATTGTTTCGTGCTACGCCGTTATCTATTCTTTATTCCAAAGCTTTGGTGCCCTTTGTAAACTTTCTAATAATAGGCTGCTCGTAAACTTGGTTTAGCTTACAGACTAATGTGAAAACACATAGCTTTTATTCGGATTAGAAAGTATTATGTTATTCAAGGAGAATCACACAGTTATTTCTCCCATTCTCCTTAACTAACTTGAATGGTTTCAGATGATAAAACCGATACCGATTTAGAGTGCAAGAATTTGAGTAAAGTTGAAGAATTAAGACAAGTTTACTACGTGTAAGGATGTCATTAAAAGTTAACATCAGCATTACCTAAAATTAAACATCAAGATTTTTGCTCTTTAATTCAACGCCTTAAAAAAAACATATTTTGTAAATGTTCAATTAATTGTTTCCAATATCTTATGTAATAATACAGAACTTTTATTAGTGTTCGCGAAGAATAGGTTTTAGGTTTTAATTTAAAAAACTTGCTCTAGCAGTTTAGTTAAGAGAAAATTATTTTGTCCCTAAAGAGCGTTAATCTTTAATTATTAACGAACGAAATAAAGTGCTGTTATGAAAAATGAAATTGTAAAATAACCATTTATTCCTTACACTTGTTTAATTAATTAACTTTTTTTAAATTCTTATTTTATTTTAAAATTTATTTTTGTGTTAAATATTGTGAAATAATTTTATTCCTTTGAAAATGTGGATTTATATTTTTTTATATATATGTTTGTCAATTGTCAATTGATCATTATACTATGACATTGACAGATTTGAGGTCATAAGATTGTTATAATGTTATTGTACATTTTTAAGGTTACTTATAATTTGTTTATTAATTTTCTTTAAACTCATTAAATAAAATAAAATTTCTCCCACATCCCATTAATACTATTATACTATGCTAACGTATATATATGATTTTACTTAAGTTTTAGTTTTATAATAAACAACTTTACTATTTTGTTAGTAATTACTTATTAAGAATGGAAAAAGTAACAGCATCGAAAATTAAAAAGCCTATGAGCAAAACCAAATTAAAAAAGACTATCAAAAATGTTGTTTGCCGTCCAGATCCATTAAACTGGTAAGTTCACTTGTTTGTTTTGTGATTGTGGCGATACGTATGCATTGTAGCAATTAATTTTTATTTAGGCTTATAGCATCCGACGAAGAGGCATGTGAAGTTATTCAAGTTCTTCGTAAATATAGCGTGGTAATACCAAAATTCAAGAAACCACACTGGAATGATATAAAATGTATCCCCAAGGAAAAGAGAACGAAACCACCACCAATTCAGTAAGTTATATGTACAACTGCTATTCCATCATGTTATATTAGTTTCCTGTTGAAATAAATAAAAATTAAGTTTTAGTAATTTATTATGTATTTGAAAATAGTTCAATGTTCATTCTCAATTTTTGATTCTATTTTATTTTAGAAAAGTGGAAGGACTTCTATTTGGCTTATCTGAATGCCAGGACTCCATCCAAGAAAGTAGCTGTTCAGGAATCTTAATTGAGGCTACGGTCAATCCAAAACTTTTAGTGGAACCCATTATAGATCTGTGTTGCACTAAATCAATACCATATTTGTGTATGAAGGATTTAAGAAAAACAACTGCAGAAGCTTTTGGTATACCTACTAGCTGTCTAGGTCTCAAAAATGACTGCATATTAGACATTCAACTGGTTATTCAAAATATCTACAAAAAGCACGAAATAATACACAAAAGTCTCCCTCTTGCTAATGAATCTACATACAATGAAGAAATACCGATGGACACTGTAGAACCATGTAATGCAGTATCTATCAGTAAAGAAATGTGCAAAGAAAATCAATGTATTACTTATTTATATAGGAGCAGTAAAAAAGAAAGAGTTTTTATACCAAATGGTACACAGAATCAGAATGCAACCAACAAGTTCAGTGGTCAAAACTTTATTAAGTTTGAAGAAGATAATAAAAATATGAATAAAAAAGCGTACAAAAATATGATCCTCAAGAGAGTAACAAGTAATCCAAAGAGAGTGAAATTAAAGGAATCGTAAATTAAACGAGCTGAAATTTGATATTTTATTTATTCATAACACTATATCTATGTCACAAAAAGACATGTCATTAACTTCTCAAGAAAATGTCAGAGTACAGTCTGACAATTTTTGAGTACTTCAAATTCTTACAAAATGTTTCTCACGCGGGAAACTACAATTTACATTATTAACTAAGTAGTGTAATACTCCATAAATATATTTAAAATTATACCTACAAACACATATGGAGCAAAACACATGTAGATAACATAATATATCTTACATTTTTATGCATTGCATTTAATATTTTCTCAAAGTTCAATTTAATAAAATCAAACAGTGTTTAAAAGTTATTACTACAATATAATAAATGACTATTCATATTTTTATTCTGGCCATAATAATGTTTATCATGTTAGTTATATTTTCCAAAGTCAATATTAAGTTTTCTTTGTGTAAATAAACTATTTATAATTTTAAACAAAATATAAAATAAATGATTTGGTACATAGTACCAATAATGATTTATACCATCACAATAATTATTGTAAAAGGTTCTATTGCAGCACGAGGCTAAAACTATCTAATCTAATAAAGAGAGTACAAAGGCAGATGTTATATGAGGCACTGAGGAGTACAGGGTCTTAGTATTAGGAAGCTGAATTAGATTGTTAGAATGAATAGATAGAATTATTGTGATTTGTACATCCTTATCCGTGTCTACGCTTAACAATTAATTAAATACAGCCATATGCTTCTTAGAAGCATATGTCAAAAACAAATCATCTATATTTCCTTAACATGTTCAATTTACATTGGCACAGTGAGTCAATATTTTCAGTAAAATGTCATGCCTATACAGAATCGAGATTTCGTTGTGATAAATTCAAGATTCAACAATAACAACTAATAGTATATCTTTGCCACTTTTAATTTTAGCCGATGTGACCAAAAGTCCAAGTTTAGTGAATCAATTCCATCAGACATTGAAATAAATCTCGATTTCCTTTTGAAATTGAGAAAATTTCGCGTCAATATTTAAAGATGCCCTAATGCATTGGATAAGGCAATGTCGCCTCGCTCGGTCTGTATCTAGCTAGTATAATGGCGCACATCTTTTGCGCGTCCGTTTCGTCTGGGTACGCGTTCATCGCTTCGGCAACTTGCACTTCGGGGAATATGTTAGCCAAGTGGTAGTGCATCCGCCTACGCGCTTCCCAAAGTTGAAGGGCGCCTTCGGAGGCACAGGGGGAGAGGGACACCCCGGCCATGTGAATAGGCATCGCACCTATCGCCCCGACCGGCGCGGAAGAGACTCTTGACGCAGTCGCATGCAATCTCGGATCGCAAGCTGGGTTAAGAGTCAATTGGCGCGCGAGTTTCTTATGGGGATTATCCGCGAGCGGCTGAGAGGGTCCGGGCCGTTGTGCCCTGTCGAAGTGCGTCGCCAGTGTGGGGTCCGCAAGTCTTGGCGTAGCAGAATGCGCTCTTGCTAACGGTTTCTTCATGTCCGTGGGACGGCCGCCGGGCGGGAGACTCAGCGTGTGCAGCGCCTTACGCGCCGCTTGCTCAGACAGCTTCTCGGTAACAGACTTGTGCGGTCTGCCCGCGCGTTCTGGGTGGTGGAACTTGCACTTGTTGCCGTAAGTGCACTTCCGTCCGTATGGACAAGGTGGTGGGGGGTCGGTGCGCGATGGTGGCGCACGAAGGAATGCGTCTAACGTGGGGCCGTTTCTGCCCAGGGGGTCATCTGGTGGCATGAACCTGTCGTTGACGAAGGAGTACATAAGTAGGCGTTCCTCAATGACCTTCCTGTACTCGGGGCTCTCCGCCGCGAGATCTCTGTAATTGTCGTTTGATACCACAATGCCGTCCGTTTCGGCTGCGAGCTTAAGGATATATCTGTCGTCGTAGCAAATGAGACGTTTTCCCCCTCGATGCCTGCTTGGCGTATACACGAGAATCCTGTCCCGTTGGAGTCTATCGAGGGCGTCACGCTCGGAGACGGGGTTGTCGAGTCTAGTAGACTCTTTGCGCCAAGTGGGAACAAACACTGTGATCTCCTTGTGCCCTCTCGCTCTGAACCAATCGACGCAAATCTCGATGCCGCGGCACGAGAATATCTCCATATTACCGTGGCTGTAACGAAAAACATTGAAATTAAGCGATATATTCCGCAAAACTTCCGCATTGATATATTTATTATCTTATTAGTTGCAGATATGGACGACACAATATTTATGACTTGATAAAAAAAACATTCGATCATAAACGGCCTACATGATCCCTAAAAAGGATTAAATTTCCGATATCGTTTGGGTTGACAAATACATTTATATGTGTTTATTTTTAGCTACAACGCCCGCCGCGACTCTTATGCTTTAAAATTACCTTGGTCTTAACGTATTAATTAGTAAATTATAATTATAATAATTATTAATTACCTCATAGCGACATTGCTGCCATCGATGACAATGTGCCTAAGCGGTGCTCGATCAGGCAGCGGTTCTGGTTCCAGAGTGTGAGGTGGAGAAATGTTCCGCTGGGGTCGCTTGGCGGCTAACTTGATCAGCTCGGCCAATAACTCATTGCGCGGCGGGTCTGGCCCCAATCTTTTCAGAGCTGTGCGAGCCAGGTGCTCCGAGTATCCCAATTTTATGGCGAATTCGATTTTGGCCTGCAAAATTTCATACTTTTAAATATTTAAAAAATGTTTACAAACACTTAGAATCAGGATTTGAAGGCCTTTTGTAATCTATTCTCGGTAATTCGCGAAACATTAATCTTAGCTTTTTATTATAACCTTTATTTTTAACATGGGGCGACAAAACTTAGGAAAGTATTGTCGCCCCATGTTAAAAAAAAGCATCTCAATCCATTCTACCGTCACAGCTACGATAGATACGTCTCTCTGATTTCAAACAACACATTATCTTTAAGAAAGAATAATAATATAGTTTTATTAAGTGTATTGCTCGTCACAAATAAATAACATTTAAATCAACATTAAATGTATTCTCAAAATGAGTAACTATGTTAAGCAGCGTTATTTCCCACGATCGTCTAATCATCTTTTCTAATACATAGTATCATGCCTATATTTAAACATAATTTTGATATTATCTGAGCTGTGTGATTAAGTAGTAAAGCAAAGCATCCGAAACATCGGGCCGAAGTTAAAAATAATTTTCAAATAAGTTTAATTCATATATCGCGTTTTAAACCGTTAAAGTGTTTTATTTAAATGTGTACTACTCGCGTAAACTATATTATCATAAAACTTGCATCAAGTGTAAATTTAAAAAAAAGTTAATGACTACACCCTTTATTAATGCTACAAGTATTACCAATATAATAAAATTATATAGCTTAGCATTTTAAGACTACTAGCATGGGACTTTCTTCAAATATTAAGATTTCTTAGATTTAATAAAAGCGTTATTTATTAAAATTTAAAACACTGTTTTAAACATACTTGTGCATCACAAGAAAGTAGGTAATAAATGTTTTCCATGGATAATCGATGAATTTATTATCGATTTGCAATCAAGGGCCTAAAAAGTACATCTAACGTAGTCCATTCCAGGGCGTAGTAAAATAATGAAAAGGTTATGCAACTTAACCTCGTCTGTGTTAGATGACGCAAGTGACACAGTAAATAAAATTAAATTACATCACAGAACATGGCTCAGCGCTGTGCGCCCGCTTTCCCAAAGATCTTTACGACAGACGCGCTCGTGTTAAGGTAAATCAATAATATACGAAGTAACGATACATTATAAATATAACAATGAAAAGGTAACTTAATATACAAGTTGTAAATAAATAAAAAATGACAAGTTTTACTACGCCATTATAAGTAAAATACTATAAGACCATTATCGTAATAAAGATCGAAGAAAGACGAGTTTCCTAATGACGTGTATTTGAAGGGCCGACGCTACAGGAAATAAAACTAGTTTCTTATTAGAAAATGTGTTATTAAAATAATTTAATAAATAGCATGAGAAAGTGACGTAAAAGCTGAAACTTTGCATGGAAACTAAGCATAGCTAACGAACATTCTGAGCTGTCGTGACTTAGCTTATTATAAACGTTTATGACATGCTGTCAATCTAACTGCTAGCTTACCTGGTTAGGTTGTGGGGGTGCTGGCGAGAGTGTGACGTACTCCGCGAACTCTGCTGCGAGCGTATCCGACGGAGTCCTGGAGGCGGTGCGATGCCCACCATCGTCCTCGCATTCGGAGTCGTAGCTCGAGTCCTCGCCACGTTCCCCAGCCCAACCGAGTGATGAGTCCACATATTTCTGTAACAAGAAAACATCAAACTTTAATAAGTTTCGAAATGTATTATATCAACCGTATCATTTCCTATTTCTAAAGTGTAGTTTTGCCTGCTAGGATCCCAGATTTTCAAATTGATCAAATAATCTTCAGTAGCATATTCATTTGAACGTTGACACGGCGAACGTATACATATTGGACGGACAACATTTTCCCCCTGTTTAATTAAAGCTGTTAAAGTTCGCTCAACGCTATGAATATTGATTGTCTTTATCTAGAAATTGCAAATTATTAGAGCTTTGATATAAACTGTAATTGTGATTTGACGTCATGCCCTTTAGAGGTAGATAACATGCAATGACGTAGAGCGATAGTCGTATTTGTTTGACTTGACCAGAGGCTCACGGACATCGCCATATCCTGTTTTAAGCGGCGACAAAAAGAATCGAGCGAAAATTAATAAACCGCTGATAATAAATTAGTTATACAGTCGTTATCGTTGAATAAAACAGCTTACAAACGCACAGATGCACCTATAGGTAATAAGTGAATAATCAATATGTATATTTTAATTTAATGCTATACGGCGCCGACGCAAGACAGGGTCACGGGGGCACCAAAGCGGATCTACAGATGATCAATGACCTTTAACGTGCGTTCCCAAGTACCGGTTATAATTCATTATTTACAAAAATTTACGAAATATCCTCTCACAATCGAATATCTTGCGAATAGTCGAGTGCTTAAACCCGTTATCGGTGTAGAACGAAACTAAATTGACTTCTTAGTCAAACAACATCCGTGTTGGGACAGCGTTGGCATAGATCGAAAATGTATTTAACTCGAGTACGTTAGATGATATTGGTGTTATCGATCACTTATTGATATTTAATTACTGTTCAGAACTGACAAATATTGATTTGAAATACTTTTAATTGATGAACAACAATTTGGCTTCTGCTCTGAATAGATAATTTGAAATAACTAAAACCTAGAGTGTATCCGTACTCACTCGTTAACACGACTAAAGTTCACAGCCTTTTATTTTTCAGCCTTTGTAATAAAGAGGGTTTCTTTTGAATTTCAAACCATTGGCATGAATAATACCTAACTAAATTCAAACTTATAACGATCACGCTTTACTATCATTTAAGTTTCTATTTGGATGCATTCAATTTAAACCATGATCCTAAATATTGAAATACAGATTGTTGAAGACTTGAATGCTGAAGGCCCGAATTAGATGTTGACATATGCCTGTATACTTATATAATGCCTACAAAAACTTAACAAACTACCGTCAAAGAGTGTTTCTATGATTCCATATTGTTTTCTGACGTCACTTTTTAACGTATATACATACAACTTAGTTTGTTCGCCTCACAAATCATATCGTCTTAAATAAAACTCTATATGAAGCGAAACAATCTACAGCCAATGTTGTAGCATCGCATCGAATCAGCCGGATGCGACTTTCTAAAAACATTGTGCTCGCGAAACAACGGCGCGGGCGGCCGTTCAGTTCCGTCATGAGTTTACAAAAGTATTTGTAAGTGCTTCGTATATCGTGATAAAGGTAGCTGTTACATAAATGTATGCTACTTATTGGTGTGAGTCTTAAATAATTGAGCTATTTAAAGAAGTTCCGTTAGTCTGTGAATAAACACTATGTGTATTAAAAAGGAGTCTTATTTCCTATTTATTAAAACTTATAAAATCGATAACAATTAATAAAAACAGCCCACGCGAGGCGGAATTACATAGAGTTTCATACCATTGATTAAGTAAAGAATTGTCGTATTGACTTTCTAGTCCCTACCTGTTGTCTATTGATATCAAGAAAAATAGATATTATTTCATTTTAAGAGTTTGTTGTTGAAATTTTTAACTCTAACTATTGCAATTCTTGATATACAAACACAAACGGACCTATATCAGTCTTAGTAATAGGGTTCTGTCTTAACTTTGGCTACAGCACTCTAAAAACCAAAACTTTATATTTCTTAAATAAAACACTTTAACGGTTTAAAACGCGGAGACCACGGCTCCCCCCGTCTCTTCGTGACCACGGCTGCTGCAAAGCATCCGAAACGTCGGGCCGAAGTTAAAAATCATTTCCAAATAAGTTTAACTAATATATCGCGTTTTAAACCGTTAAAGTGTTTTATATAAACTGTACGCGTAAACTGTAGATATTTATATTTCTTTTCAAGAATTACGACAAATTAAATTTCTATTCCTTTTTATAGATTCATATAAATATCACAGTGTACAAACATTGCAACAGTAGAGCAATAAAATAATTTTAATAACAAGGTCACGTCTTAATCACTAAGTGGTGTTATTACCATTGAAAAAATAAAAAGCATAGTCTGATAAATTTAATATAGTTACTACTTTTCAATACAATATCTTGATACGCAAAAGCCCAAAAGCCATTATCCATGCGAAACTTCAAGATTATATTATCAGTTCATGAAGTGAATTAAATTATTGATGAACGTTCTTTTCAAAACACGTTTACACACATAGCTTTGTGTATACAATATGAAGATGTGTTTGTTTTGATTTTGCACGACCTCAAACTAATTAGATTAAAAACACCATCGGATTCCCCAGTGCGCAAGCGGGAAACATTGTTTACGTTCGGGTCAAAATTTGCGGGTAAACCCTCGTTTTTTCAGGGTATTTCCGTGTAAACCCGTTTAATTGAGATTATTTTATACCGCTTAGTTCAAATCGCAACCTAGATTTAATTTCGGAGGCCGAAGTCAAACGTTGAATAGACGCCCCTTGACAACTTATAAATTAGAAGGTTAATTATTGCATCAGCTGTACGTGACGTAGTCTCGGCAGAGTTCCGCTATTTGCTTTATAGCTCTGAAGGAAAACAATGATTTTAATTGGCACAATGGTTGATTGATCTAGCATTGCGATCAGCGTGAAAAGTCATAGGTTTTCAAGCCCTGAAAATCATAATATTCGGCTCAAGCATATCAGTCTGATATACAAATTCCTGTAAAGAATAACTGAAACAGACACACATAAGTGTCAGCTTCACATAGGGAAATGAAATTTCACACAAATTGTGTATCTTAAAGCTATTGAACATACTTATAAAAGGTAATTATTAATTAAAAGTTTGTTTGTTCTTTAATCCCAAAATCGCGTTGTAGCTCTCGGAACTACGGATAGAAGTAAACAGGTTATGACGTAGCCGCGAGAAAATTGCATTGTACAGACTACAGGTGAGGTTTGTTTACCTTGTTTTCCTTGAATTCTAAAAAATAGTATTCTTAATACTACGTCGCGGATTGACGATCATTGTCAAAATTCGAGATGTTTCACCCTACGTAAATAATATATGCATATTATATTAATTCGTTTGTTTACAACTTCAATATATTTGTTAGCAACAGTGGATTTTATTAACCTTGAGATGCGCGATAGGAATTGAAGATGCTTTGGGTGGGAGATAAGACATACTTGAAAATTTATAAATATTAAGATAAAACACTTTTAACTGTTTAAAACGCGAAACATCTTAATTATTACCGACACGACGCGACACTTCGGATGCCTTATACCTATTTAAGTCTTCGAAATTATGATCGCTTACATTTACCACGTTTTAAACCGTCACAAGGTTTTTATTCAAATGCACTAGTACAGGTTCTGTAGTTTACACGAGCAGTCGTTAGAAGAAGTTAAATAGAAGAAAAAGAGAATTTATTTAGATAGAAGTGAATTCGTACCGCAATATCCAAATGTAGTCCCTTAGCCCACTGTCTTTCCGCTAATTTGATTATAGTTTTCATAACACTGAGGCACAACAGACTGCACGTGTTGTACGCCTCAATAATATCCGATCGATAATATTAGCTCCGTCTACTGTACAGTGTATTGGAGAAATTCTATCGCGCGTTCTTTAGTGATAAGCGCGACCAATTACATAGAACTATTGGGGTAACGTCGCGTCGTGCGATGTGTCGTCACTCCTAACAGGATGCGGTGGGCACGCGACACACTCACACAAAAAAACATGCTTTTGTTTTGATTCCGCGCCTATCTTTTGTCATTAATTAAGGCAGATATTTATACACACAAGCATTATATTGTAAGAACTAGCTGTGTCAGCGACTGCGTCCGCGTGGAATAGTTATTGTGGCAAAATTTGTTTTTGTAAACCTCCTGTTGACCTCTATAAATTTAAACTGCTACCCACGATGTAGACTGTCGTTCTTGCAAGTTAATCTTAAAAGATAGAAATTATGTCGCAAATATTTTTTAGATCATTAAAGAGGAATCATTCTTTCCTACATATTAGTACAGCGAGAATTTCAATTCGAACCAGTACTTCCTGAGATTAGCAAACAAGCAAACAAACTCTACAGCTTTACATATTAGTAGGTATAGATAAGAAATAGAACACTTTATCATTTTTTAAGTTACTGCATATAAAATGCATTATATAAATTAAAAATCGATTTTAGTTTCTTGCCCTGCCCGTGTCTTTAGTGTTCGTGTTTTCAATCTAAAATCGATATTTGATTTTCACAAATAGAATTGAGCTAACGATGTCGATTTAACAAAGCATTACTCAAATGTAAAGTCATAATTTATTTAAATTGAGCCACAATGAGATTGTCAAGTAAATAGATCGGAATTCAGATCAATTAATTTACGATGCAAATGCAACTGGTTTGTGATACACATTGTTCTTTTTCCGCCCGCACTCATGATGCAGAAATGGATAATTTTGAACCAAGCAATAAGCAAGCAAGGCACAATATCTTTATATTAACCGATGTTGGAACATTTACTAGAAGTATTAATTTATCTCGTTCGTATTATTTATCAGCTGGGTATGTTCCTCATAAGAGATAGGGATCATCGTATTCTACTTAATTCCACACATCGAGGTAGGATGATAGCCAGGTGGTGCAGGGACCAGGGTCCGGGAGCTTAGGTGGTTCTTTGCAAAGAGGTAAACGTGAAAGAAAAGGAAAAAGAAATATGTTTAATTTACAAATCGATTATAGATTGAAAAAAAATTTACGACACGGACAAGACGTCGTAAAAAAATCTAATCTATAATCGATTTTTAATTTATGATGTGCCATTAAATAAAAAAAAATATTCTTGTTCCTATCTATAATTCCGGAGGCTAATATGAGTTCAAGCTCGCGGAAAAAGGCCCGATTATTATATGTATGTACCGGGGCCCTTGATCTCCTATCTACTCTACTTGTACCATCACAAAATTTCAGACGACACGACGGCCGGGTCCGAGTGCTAAGCGTACTCTACAAGCATGGTCTCTTCACCACCAAAAAATCAATACGCGATACTTTTCTAATTGACCGGTTTAATTATTAATAAAAATAGCTCAAGTCAAAATATCCCTAAGTGCCTATATATTATCTTAAGAACGGCGGTGTACGATCCTTAAGCATTAATTGTTGTGGTTATTGAAAAGTTAGGCTAACAGGATAGTATTGCTTATCTCTAGTAGCTGGATCTACGAATAGATAAGTTGGTGAAAAATTAGAGTTAAAAACAAATATTTGAATTTACAATATTGTACAGTACCTACAGTTTTGTGACAATAAAATTATTTTTTTACTACAATTCTAAACAAGAGACAGGTATTAAATATAAGTTTTCAAGTTAATTGTCATCGGATATAAACTTTTTAAAAGTACTCGCGTGAACTACAGAATATAGTTTTTGTTTTTTAGTGTTAATCATTTTTATAACCATTAAAAACTGAGTCGATACTTTGTTAAAAAATGGTGCCAACAACTAGAGCTGCATAACAAAGATAATTTATTACAAATTATTCCGACACCATTTACAGTGTTAGAAACATGTTTGATTGATTATACTATTAATATATAGTTACAGTTGTAAACATATCATCGCGTACATTATAATTAACACTAATCGGGATGAATTGAAACATACTGCAAATATTTTTATTGTTGCTAACATTATTAAATTTATTTTCTATTCTCTTCCTTGCATTAATGTTGTGCATGTGTTATGTTCTCATGAGAATCCGTTTCTCATAGAAAATTGGCTTATAAGTATTTCTATGTGTAAAATCTTGACAGAAAACTTCTTTGAATCTTTTTTAGGATTTTTTTACAGTGTATGTTTTGAAAAAAGGTCACTTAACACTTCGATTTAATAATACCGAACGTATAGATAAATATGTCATAGATCTTATTTTTTTTTACGTATTAATAAGTAAGTAAGTAAGTAATATAATATAATACTTATCAAAATTTATTTATTTGGCATAAACATCATCCTATCGAACTTTACGATGCTGTAGGAAATAATTTATGTATCGATGTATTTAAATCAGATAAGAGAATTTAAGGCTTAAGATATATTTTAAAGCTAATTTATTAAGAGAGGACGACATCATTGTAATCTTGTAATGATTCTCAGTTTAAAATTGTTGTATGTTCTGTTCAGTCCACCAGAAGATGTTAGAAGAAAGATATTTTACGAAAGAATCTTGATATTGTGTTAATCACTTTCATACTCCTCTCACTCAAAACCTGTACTACAACAGAAGTAAATTTATGAACAAAATGCAATCAAAATGACATAATTTAAAGTACATAGAAACAATGTCTAAAAATGCTAATGGCCGTTCCTATAAAGAATCCCAAATTGGAAAATAGTGAACAATGAACTCGACTACAGAGTTTACCTACTCTTGATGACTAGTAAAGTTGGGAATCCCGATATTATTATCAGTTATATACTCCGTTGTCTAATCATGAGGCGGTTCATACCTCATTATGGAGACCCACTTCAAAACCGCGATATCCGTGAAGAAATTTTCGAAAATTATGCCAAGCGGAGCTATTAGATTCAAATCCGTGATCGGACATTGTGGATAACGGGTGAATATAAATTACTAGCTCGCCGCAGAGTGAAAGTCCGCACTTATATCCGAGTTACAGCCTATGACACTGCATACCGCTTTGACCGAAATGATATTTTATTCAGTGATTATCCGTCTCACTTGCACTCGGTTTAAAACGCGATATATATTAGTTAAACTTATTTGAAAATGATTTTAACTACGGCCCGACGTTTTGGATGCTTTGCAGCAGCTGTGGTCACGGGCTGTATAATATTTCAATGTGTTTAACTATATATCGCGTTTTAAACCGTTAAGGTATTAAATAAAGCATGTGTACTACTCGCGTAAACTATTTTTTTTTACAATTATACAAGAAAATATATACATAAGTATTGGTAAAAGCCGGTTTGACTAATTACTCGAATAATAATAATTAGTATTAATATTTAAAAAAATTGTACGATTGAATAAATAGTTCTTAATTGTCTGCCAACCATATACAAAAGAAAAATACACAATAAAGTGGATCTAAAAATCCATATTAAAAAATCGATGACACGGATATATATATATGTCCAAGTTTTGTATGCGAATTTTGAAAATCTTAATTAATTAAAAAGAAATTAATAATATTCAATTAATGAAAAGATTTTTCATTTATATCGTGTCAACGTGATCATAACACGTGAAAAAGAATAACGCCTAAAGTGATTTTAATTCTTCAACTCTTGTAAATTAATTATACTCGAGCCATTATTATTTGAGTATCTCATTTCTTTATTTGAATACATTCAAATTAGATATATTTATGAGTAATAAATTAAATTAAACATATCAAACTAGACTCATCGTCGGTTCAAAATCGGTAACGTATGATTCGCTCTTGATGCCGAACCGGATATAGGAGGAACCCCATCAAACTCACCTCCTACATACCTACTTTTAACATTTACTGCACGTGGTTCTTTACGTAGTCTTACGTTATACATGTAATTGAATTATTGGTCTTTCGAAACTGGAATACTGGAATTTGTTCTTTTCCCTTCTTCATTTTTCTTATCAAAAGGTCAGTTTGCAATTAATTCATTCGGCTCGAATAAGACGTCGTTCATTGTCATTATATTATATAAACTTAAGTTAAAATGTCTATAAGTAATAATAAAAGTAAACGTCAAACTATTGATAAGCAGCGGTTTCGCTCATGTTTGATAAAATGATATCTTTTGAAACTATTAGGTATATATATTTTTAAACTAATTTAAATAACTTAATGAAATTCTTTACTTTCATTTAACATCAATCTTATTTTAGATTTTATATATATTAGAATTAATATCTTTTCCTTCTTATAAGTTATACACATAGTTTGATTAGTGACACTTATGCAGTCCTATTAGCTACAACTTGGCCACTTGTCATTGTTACAATATAATATAATGATACATCAACAATATTAATCTATCAATGTTTGAGCACTTCGCAATAATTAGCATAGTTTAATGACGCTCAACTTCGCTTCCGGGTTGGCTTACATTGCGGGTATCGTTAACACTATACGGAAAGCGCTTACGAAACGGTGACGTAAATTTCTTTTAACAAAACGCACTTCTCACCTGGGAGTTGTCAATCGCGTACATAATAATTGCGTGTTAGTGCGCGCTTTTAACGCCCGACATGGCTCATTTGTACGACCACGGCCTCTATCGCGGCGAGACTAGCTCGAGGAGCGATCGTACGCTGCGCATACGCACACCTCCACGCACGAGTGAAGGGGAAGCGGGGCAGCCGAGATCCGGGTTTCGCGCCCACTGCAGCAGGCGGCCCCCAAACAACGCCTGACCTCTGTCACCCAGCCGAAACGCGCATCCAACTAAATGTGCCGAACCCGGACTTGGGCCGTCGATCACTTCGTAGTAATCGAAAGTGGAAGGATACCAGACCATTAATTTATTGGTGGTCAACATTTTTCTCTTAGAGTTCTGAGCCGAGCCATTACCACAAACATGCTTATGCATATAATATTAACACAATCTATTCTAAATCGGAAAGTTGTAACTATAATAAACATGGTTTTGTCTGATAGGGCAAGGATTAACTATTAAAAACTTTTTTATTAAGTTAATATAGTTACAAGAATGGGGAAAGTTATATCAATTCCTTATGCAATCCTAGATTGCCATTTTTTATCATCTCCATAGCTTAAATTTATTATTTAGGTTAAATGCAATGTATAGGATTAAACTATGTGAATTATATCCTGAGTTAAAATATGGGGCAACAAATTTCTTTATATACAGTTAAGCAGAGAGCAGAACTATGACTGGAAATAAATCTGTCCATCTCGTGACTCTCATAGGTACAGCTGTATTTGACTTAAATGGCAATTGTTTAAAATTAAAGAAAATGTCCTTCACAGAGATTTCACAGCTTGAATTATTATAACAAATTTACAAGGAGTCATCCCATTGCTTAATTCTGATGTATTGTAATAACAATGTACACACTTTTTTATCTAATTTTTACTACACCTAATAATTTTTTAATGATTTTCTTATTGGACATTTTGATGTGAAAAATGGTTTGTAAGAAGCCACAAGAATGAATTGACCAGCTCCATATGCATTTAAATACCACCAAATTCATCTTTGTGTAATGCTATATATTAATTATACTTAAATAAATAAAATAATTATGACTACCATATAAAAATAATATAATAAAATAACAAAGTGAAAAGCATAACAATCTTGATTCTTGTATAATCCTATACCTAAATAGATCATCATTTCATTGTGCACCATTAATATTGTTTTTATTATTATATTTTACTTACCTGAATTCTATCAACTAATTCTTCAGGCTTGAATTTGCCGTCGACAGGATTTAAATTAAATATAACTTTAAACTGTACCACATATTTGCTGTCGTCGAAAACAGATTTATTTTCAGAAAGCGTAACGTAGTAAAAAGTTTCGACTAACTTCAGGTATTTGCTATAAAACTCCGGCAGAGAAGACCGCGGTACCGATATAAACAAATCAAAATCGTTTGACATAATTCCAAATACGGCGCCAATAGATATCAGAAACGTTAATCACTAATTTTATTGCATAATTGATATCGAAATCCTTAATTCACTACCTACATTTCCAATTAGATTAGAAGGAAAAGTAATATGCTAAGATCCGCGTTTTATCGACGACATAAACTCAGATTAACTGACGTTGACATTAATATCGATAACAAATAACTCAATGACATTGACAGTTCAATTAATGTTACAGTTTGACAGTTATTGCTATTAGCGGTGTCAAATTTTTACTAGTGACCGTTCCACATTACTCAAAAAAACTTTTAAAGTACAAAAGTCAAATAAAAAACAAAATATGTATTTAATTAGTCACATTTATTACTTACATACAGTATTGCCTTGAATTAAATCTTAAAATATATCACAAAAAAAATATTTCATAAAAAGTCTTAATTAATTGATTGCTTATTATCTAATATAGAGTTAAAAATAGAAAGAATTGATTAGAAGTATTAGGTTTATACCTACGTCGCTTGTAGCGGAATATGCATATTGCATGTACCCGTTTGAATTGGAGGATCCAAAATAATGAACCTGAAAGTAAGGTAGAAATTAAAGATTAATCGACTTGTGTCTATTTATAAAATAAGCTGTGTTCGTCTCATTGTTTTCTTCATAATGCAAAAATGATTTTACCCTTATAATGAGTTATATCACAGGCTTATGCTGGAGTTTTTAATAACAATTAATTAACTAGAAAATTCTGATTCAGTATTATCTGAGGGTGAAATATTCTCTTTTTTTAAAGCTTTCCTCTTTTTCTTGCTAACTTGTCTGCTGCGGAACATTTTACTCTCGTCGGCACATTTTGTTGTTATGCTTGTCCTAAAATTGAAATAAAACATTTTTTTAGATAAGCTCACATATTATGATTTTAAGTAAGTTTCAAGAAGAGGCTCCATAAATCTACGGTGAAAGATAAACATTAATGAAGGCGTAAAAGTAAATTCTATTTGTCTGTTTTATTTCTATGTGTAATATTACAAACCTTACTACATTCTCCGGCACATTGCACTTTTCCACCACAGTCTGTACAATATCATTGACCAATGCTGCATCTAGTTTTTTCTTTGCCGGTTTGTTAGGGAACGCAGGAGAACGTTTACCGGTCAAAGAATGTGTGGCAAGAACGCTAAAATAAGTATTTTATAGCTAATTAGTAATTGACCCATATCAATTTCATTGAAGCGAAAATATATGATAGAAATGCATGCATACTTGCGTGGGAAAACGGCAGTTAACAACTTTCTAGTGGCATTCGTATACGATGTCCAGTCCATGTATTTCAAGAGTCTAGCGGGCACCACTGCGTTACCGTCTCCGATTGATATCTGTTATATACAATTATAGTAATATTCAGTATTTGTAGACAAAAATATAACCGCACTGAACAATATCGTTGTGTACATACCATTTCACCGCCCATTTTATTTAAGTTTTTGGGTTTCAATGCCTTCTTCATGCTGGAATCCGCTTTCGATATTTTAAACTCCGGGTCAGTATTTTTTGGTTTTCCAAAACGTGTCATTGTAACATCAAAGTCCGATGATTCCTAATACAGAAATAATTAGTATTAAAGAATGAGTCATTGTAATTACTATCTATTGTCTGAAACAGTTTAAAACTGTTAAAATATTTTCATAGTTGGATTTTGGATTTTGTTGGTTTTTTAACGTTGGATCGTAGTTAGAATGAATCATAAATAAGTTTAGTAATATTGAGTTTATTAGAAGTCTTGTAAAAAAATATGCTATTTAAGAGGTAGAATAACTTACTATTACTTACATTATTGGTGTTGTTTGTGGTTGTCCGTTTGCGTTTGTAGGTTCTCCGATTGTGAGTCTTTGTTCGTTCATCGCTAGATGTGTCCGTATAGAAGTTTGAATCATAGATAGGAGACGTTGTTTTCGCTGCATGTTTTAATCGCGCTTGCAGAACTTCAATTGTTTTGTATAAGTCCTTTATTATGTTATTCAGTCTGTCAACTTCCGCTAGAAGATTTTCTATATCTGTTTGCATTCCTATTTCACGAGTAGTTATCGTATGAGTCCCATTTATCTTATTTGCCAAACCCTCCGAGGTTTGTCTCTTTGGTGTACTTGTATTTTGCACTGAGTCGTTGCACAACTGAAATAGTAATGCTAGTGTAATAATTGGTATTTATTTTACTGAAGAACCCTGTTAAACTAATATTGATACCTACTTTTTTTGTAATTAGTCCGTTAAAAATGTTCGATATCGTTGGAGGTGCCACGATTTCCTCAATTCCTCGAGTCCAGCGCTCGTCTGCAAACAAAAAGTGATATCCTTACTTCCATAGACACTTTAAATTTACGCAAGTACACATTAAAAAACGCGATATATACCTATTACTTAGTTAAACTTAATTGAAAAATATTTTAACTAGGTTTATTAGGGCCGTAGTTTAAATTATTTTTATATTAGTTTAATGAATATCTATAGCGTTTTAAACCGTTGACGTGTTTTATTTAAACTTTAAAATGCTTTTTTTAAATAATAGTTAAATACTCACAACCATTACGATGGAAGACATGTCTGTGTCCACGAAGTTCTAATAATGCGTGCGCGGCATCCAATTCCAATGTCATAATTGAATCAGTGATTATTATCGTATCTGAAAAAATACCATGATCCAGTTGATGAAATAGTATCCCTATAAAGCAAGTTAACCCTCCGGGATGAATTACAAAGCACAAATGAGCCTTCGCAACTTTCGGACGACACTTGCCTCCCCGAAAGCCAATTTCTAGTTGAAAACCATTTGTTTCATCTGCAGGTATAACTTTGCTATTGTGCCTGCTAGCCTATGTCCGAAAGAGAGTATTAAAATCTATTGTGTGACGAAAAACTACCTGTGTACTTGCATTGTTTACATTACTTATCCTATTGGATTTGCTCCTATTGTCTAAAAAACCAGTTTACCCAATTACCGATAATAAAACATTTGGTACGCTGACTCACCAAAATTATACCTACTAATGTTTCCAACGATTCTAGAATTCAAGTAGTTCTAGAATTGCTATAATAATAGAGGTTTTGTTTATCGAACTAATGTAGGAGTTCATATTCTTCGTCAAGCAATTATTATTTATTATTAGTTTTGATGTTTTCAGAATTTTTTCTACAATTTTCTAAATTTCGCGAAACCTTAATTTAATATTGTGATTTGATAATTGATTTCTACAAGTAAAAATTTTCTTGCAACACAGAATAATCAACCCCACTTAAAGACGGGTTATAATCCTGACGTTTTACCATAAAAAAATGTTTTTGTCATCATGGTAAAGGTATTCAATAACGTAAATTCATTGATTAACTAAATTACAACGTATACAATTATTGCAAACATTAGCATAGCTATTAGATAACATAAGTAAAACACACTTTGTGCCAAATATGCTATTTAGTCGAGCATCCTATAAATGTACGGAACGAAATATATACTTTTTATAAAAATTATAAAGTCAATATTAATATAAGAATTCGCAAAAATGCCTTAATTTAATTTTCTTTGAAAGCAAGATAGTATATTATTATAATTACTACAAGTGCGTTAATATAAATCGAATAATTTGTTTTATTATATATTGGCACTGTTAAAATTATAAATAAAGATTCGAAATTTAACTTTTGGAGGTAGTTCGCGATCTTATGCTTAAGAATAATACAGAATAACACTGATAAATAAAGGAAAATAACAGTTACGAAATTAAATATGAACACTATAATATGTTAAAATCCAAATAAAAATAAATTTAAGTAAGGTTAGACATATTTCACACTTACCTTACTATCACACTAAATTCCAGCCAAATTGCAATTTCGGAGGAACTTTTTTTGGTGTCTTCACTTTGAATAGTGCAAACTACACTGACCATATTTGCAAATGAGTTCCAAATATTACCTCCGTAGAGGGGGTTGGTTTTTTGTTTTATCTGCTGTTTCTCTAATCAGGTAAAAATTGTGAATGCAGTTTATTATCCTATTGTTCGCTTTTTCCCAAAAGTGTTTTGTTCATGTCCTAATCCCCAAAGCTAATGAGCTTATTGTTTGTACTCTTTCCAATAGGCATATTTATTTTACAACCATACGGCTTATAACAAAATTGTAAGAGTCTAGGTATAAAAGTTTATTACTATTCAAAAGGATCTTGTAATTTAATAACCTCCTTTGAAACACAATTTGAAACCGTACATAAGAAATTATTAAAAACAAATTACATATTTGCCTTGTATTATATGGGAAGACAGGTCGAAAATAAATATACAATTTTTTAGAATCATAATATGTATTTAATTTCTCGATAGCAATTAAACAATAGACTTCGACGCATGCCACTGCAATCTCTGCAATCACTGCAATCTGATATTGAGCATTCACCTTTGCCCACAAATTTAATAGGAAATCATTACATTTAAGTCCCCATCTGTTTTCTCTTAACGCACTTAAATATATAAAAAAGCTGCCTCTATGAAAATATTCTATCAATGGTTAATCACAATAGTAATGTCGAACTCGCATACTCCGGGTGCCGCAAAATTTATCTACTAGGTAAACAAAAGTAGGTACACACAGTTCATACCTATTTCTATTATAAAAAGTAAATCTATACTACACTAATATTATACACTTACTTACTTAATATTATAAATGCAAAAATAACTCTGTCTGTCTGTCTGTCCGGCTTTAATGCCGAAACTACACAACCGATTTGAATGAAATTTGGTACACAAGATATTCTAGAGCCTGAGAAAGGTCTTTTTAAGCCAAAAAAGGTTCTTAGGGGTTGAAAACGGAGATGGAAGTTTGTATGGAAATTTGTGATTTTTGAAGCTAGAAGAATGAACTTTCTTCTTTGGCTTTTTGGGAATGGGAGTGAGTGCAAGTGTGAGAGCGGGAGTTAGAATGGTGTTGCGGCAAAGTAGTTAACCACACAGATTGGCTGCCTGAAATGCGCCGTTTCATAAATAAATAAACAGCCTAAATAATAATATAATCTAAATTATTATTTAAGGCTTAAACATTACTATTTCACGCGGGCGAAGTCGCGGGCACAGCTTACTAGCTTATTATACTTAATATTAAATGTTTTGGGACATATATAGTAACATGAAGCAAAAATTGGCAAAAATATTTAGTGTGTTTTAGCAGCATAATTTGTGAAAAACTCATCAAGCTAGCTCACGGTCTTTGAAATAAAGTAACAACAGCAAAAAACGTATTTGTATTAATCTATACTAATGTTATAAAGCGGAAGAGTTTGTTTCTTTGAACGCGCTAATCTCAGGATCTACTGATTCGAACTAAATTTCTTTGCGATGGATAGACCATTTATCGATAAAAATTTTAGGCTATATAATATTACGCTGCGACCAATAGGGGCGAAGAAACAGTAGAAACTTATTCTTTCTCGTGCACACTGCAAAAACGGTAGAAAGCATAAAGTTTGCATGTCAATTGTGCAAACCCTGACAGTATGTGATCATTTAAGATTAACTCGCAAGAACAATACAAAACAAATGCATTATTATAAATTATTTCTTCGAATTGTATCAACATATTTATGTTGCGAACAACAAATAGATCAGCTAGTTATTACATAATGACGTTTATTGTTTGATATTAATTACGAAAATTTTGGATATATTTTGTTTAAATACTGTCTATGGTTTACGCTAGTAGTACACATTTAAATAAAACACTTTATCGGTTTAAAACGCGATATATTAGTGAAACTTATTTGAAAATGATTTTTAACTTCGGCCCGACGTTTCGGATGCTTTGCAGCAGCCGTGGTCACGGGGGGACACGGCTGCTGCCGACACGAAACGTCGGACCGAAGTTAAAAATCATTTGTGTGTTTTATTTAAATATATTTTGTCTATAGTTTACGCGTAGTACACTTTTAAATAAAACACTTTAATGGTTTAATCTAATGTATCGCGTTTTAAACTAAAAGCTTTCTTTATATTTAGAGGCTTCCTATAGCCAAATAGGTAGGTAATATTTTGCTTTGTAATTGCATTTAATAATTTTTAAAACATATGTCTGCAACATTTCCTCGAAGCATTCAAATCTTTTTACTACCCTAATCTTCTATTGCTAAGATCTTTTATTGCACGGGCTTAGTCGGATAAACATAATTTTAGCTCGTAATAATAGTAACACAAAGCATCTTTTATCACAAGACACCGAACTTTTATATTTGCAACGAATTTTTTCGTCGCTTTCTATCTGCGGGTAGGGGGACAAAATCGAGGGAGCAAACTTACATACATCTATAGTAGGTACTTAATTTTTACCTGCGATATATAGAAGGGACGGATCGGTTTAGTTCCCATTTGGTCGGCGGTAGTATCGGGAGGTATTCAAAATTCTAAAATTATGTCTGGCTTGTGGTTTCTCGTTGAATGGGTGGACGAACGCACTGTATTTTCCAATTATAGTGTCGTGAATGTATCGTGTTTAGTAGGAGATGACAATGAAGTACATACTGGGAAAATTGTTCTTTTACGCGATAGGCACAGCGGCATGCCTAGAAGGGGGCAGTTGCTTCGGATATCAGGTATGTGAATTACTTTCTTATTGCGTAGAATCTCGCTTTCACGATACTTTTCATAATATATAACCGTAATGTTTAACTAAAATTTATTACAAAATTTGTATTACAATTAATATTTTTTTCTACATAAAGAGGGTAGTTTTTTTATTAAATTTGGTAAAAATGCTTTAGGGTATATCGCTCACAATTACCTATTGGAACCATATGTGAACTATAATAAATTCTCTCTTTTAGAAACGAAGCGATGCTTGAAAGAAATGAAAGTAATGCTGGAAAGGCAAGACAATCAGGTAAAAAACGTGGTATCAATGTGCATGAGCACAATGAAAGATATGAAAACGAGAACAATGGTAAGTTGTTTACTAATAAATATGCTTCGTAATTTTTTTATGAGGGTAGGCGAAGAAAAAAATATAAAACTCAGTATAATAAACCACATTGACTATATAGTATAGGTTATACTACCTTTCATAAATTTAAATATTTAACTCTGATCGTATCCCTTGTCGATATTATTTCTGAATCATAAGCGACTTATCTATATGGAATGAGATCATATCAAAAGAACATTCACTTACTTATAACTTAAAATATATCAACCAATAATATTATGTCATAAGTCGTGGAAGTCTTAGGCTTATATTAGTGAATGTTATTATTAGTAAATGTTGTAATACCATGAGTCCATTCTATATGTTATTATCTTAACATTACATTGTTCTATAGATTACGCTTTACAAAAGGTATTTACTAGCTATACCTGCGACTTCGTCCGCGTGGAATAGTTATTTTGGGCATCGGTTTGTTGTTGACCCACGACGTCGTTCCGTCTTGCAAATTAATCCTAAATTATGATACTTTTGCGAACATTTTTTTAGTTAGTAGACATTCAAACAAACAAACTTTTTAGCTTTATAATATTAAAACTTTAGTAGATTTAAAACTATAATAGACTCAGCTGTGTACGACACATTAGCGTAATTGGAAAGAGCAACGGCATCGAGCACTGGTTCAAGTGCCGTAACATAGTTTTTTTTTCAATCTGAAATAGATTAATTATAAAAAAAAATTCAATGTTAATGTATCAACGGGCCCTGGGTTCGATGCCCATCGAGTCAAACATTTACTCAATGTATTATTTTTTGAAACGCGTTGATTGTCGTCTTAAAATGTGGATATAAAATGGGTAGTGGGAATATAGAAATTCCGACCAGGTCACGAACCACTGCCCACAGATGAAAAAGCCGTGAAGTTTAATAGCGGTTCGGATCGGTCTGTGGATATCCGAATATCCAAAGCCATAGGTCAACAGTGCATCAGTGTGTGTTTGTTGCTCTTATGTCTTCTGCTATCATAAAAAAGGTTTTGAAATTATTTTTTTAGTACTCCCCACAAGCCAGTCTCCCGCAGGAGAGGGGACGTGTACTTGATACCACCGATAGCGAAACGGACCCTGAGGTCAGTATAAAGGCAAGCACTAAGTTTAAGAGTGTAAAACTCGCAATTTGGTAGTAAAACTTATTTTTACTACCCGACGTTTCGGATGCGGTACAGCAGCAATACTACAATATTCCTAACGCACACTTTTAAGTGTGTGTGTGTGTGGTTTTTTTTTCAAGGTTTTTTCGTTGTTTATAAACGCCATTATTGAGTTTGTTCTAACTATTTATCATTCCTGCTTAATAAGAATTTACTTTTAATGTTCAATAATTTCAGATTAACCCTGAATTGAACTTTACTCAATCTACAATTAAATTCAATGCGCAACAACAAACTGGCCCCGAATCGTTCGGGAATACCCAATTGATTCGTACTCTTCAAGAGAAATGCGTCCAAAGGCGTCGTTCGCTGGTCAGCAGCACTCCTCTACCGCCACAGCATGCTGACAATAACATACTGACCTTTGACCAAGCAACCCAGACGGACGAATATGAATCACCAGCTGAAAAAATAAGGGAAATGAACATTGTTGTACGGCATTTGTACAAAAAATTCTTGGACTTAACCGCGCAAGTAGAACTCAAGGAGGCTGAGGCGGCCCGTCGTCGACGCGAAATGTATCCGGAAATAGAGATTGTACCGATTGGAGAAGATATTAACGAGTCCATTATTTCTAATGGAGCTCAAGAAGATAACGCCATCGCAGACGGATTAAAAGTGAGGAGAGCTTCGGCCCAAACCACGAACGCTGCTGGTGCCGACGGGATGCCAGCTGAGCAAAACTTTGATATGGTAGTATTATTATAGTTATATAATTAGGTTGTATTTTTTAATAGTAACGGCTACAATATGTACATAGTTAAAGCCAGGTTGAACTTTAAGAAGATTTAAGAAGGGTTTTATTTTATTTAATTTACAATATTCACATAATGATGTGCTTAATGTTAAACAAATGTATATTATAAGTTTTGTTAGTACTTCTTTTATTAACAGTGGTTATGGAAACCCAAAGACAAAAGGCAATAAGAAATAAATATATCAATAATTAATTATACATGATGAACTAGTTGATGGAATGATAGAAATGTACTGCTGATTATCAGCGGGACGTAGATTCGATCCGAACCAGGCACATATTTGTTGTTTGATGTTTCTTATCAGGTTTTACTTAATGTTTAAGATAACATTGGATTTCTGCCTTCATTTAGATATTAAATGGGTAGGAATAAAAAAAAAACATCCGGATCACAACCCACAATTAATGAAAAACTTAGGCTTAACTTCGTTTCGATCTCAGTCTATGAATGTTTCAATATCTAAAATAGGTTGACCGCGATAGTTATAAGTTTTATGTGTGAACCCCGCGGTTGTCTATCCTCATCTGTCCTAAAAAAACCATCCCCCGAAACGTTCTCACTTATAATATAATCTAATCACAAAATTAAATAGAAATTAATCATTATTTTTTAATAGTTAATTTCAAATATGGAAACCTCTTAACTACTTGGTTTAACTTTCAAAATATTGTATTCGGTGTGAACGTATTAAAAGTAAAATAAATAGCAGGTATCCATCGGTAGCGGTAATGTTGTAGTGCCAGCTCGTCTGTTGGAGGAAATTGATTGGACATCGTACACCTCGGCAACTAGACAATTGCTACAAGCTGTATTTCCCAGAAGGTAAATCAACAGATATGACTGCGAACTATACAAAAACTAACACGAAACTCTAGTTAGTAATAATATATTATATAAGGTATAATGCAGGCGTTTTTATCACTAAAACACCGTTTGACAGATTTTAATAAAATGTTGTGTACAAACATGAACAACGCGATGGCACAAAATGTTTGTGACGTCACCAACTACTTTTTTTTTTACTTTTATGTCATTCGTTACTTTACTACGCTTTAAATGAAACAATTTTAACGGTTTGTAACATAAACTTTAAAAACTGTTACTTCAATTTAATACGACTAGACATTTCGGACGTATAAATAAAGTATCGGTAAAGTAGTTCATTTATTGTGTACTACTCGTGTTACTTACATAAATATCTATCTATTCTTTATTTACAGAGTATTAGCAACGCACTCCTTGACCGGTAAGCCATCGCCAGCGTTTGCGGACAAGCCTGCAAAGAAATGTCTTGACCCTAACATGGTGGACGACATAGTAACATTGGTTTCTGAGAGATGTGTAGTTCCCAAGAGAGTTGTTAGGTTCGTTGATATTATAATGTATAAGATTAGTTATTTAAATCTAAGTACCGCTTTAGTGACATATTTTGTTAATAAATCATTAATTCTATGCGTTTATGGTATTAAGCTATACGTTTCTGTTAAACTGTAAACAATAAGGGCTGTGAAGATACAATCATATTAACCTTTTGGGTTTATTTCAGAAGCTGCATTACTACTAAGTGCACTGACGAAGCGAAACTTTATCGCAATCGTCAGATGCTTAAGAAAATTCGTCAACAACAGAATCAAGAGAATGTTCCACCATCTCCTGCCTCTTCTAACGAATGTTCTAACACAGCAGAATGAACATTACAAATAAAAGTACGAATAAAAGTACCTACTTGAATATAACCGGCTTTACTTATTGATTAACATTTCCTAATAATTTAATCATATCAGTAAAATACTACCATCGTTAACAAAAACGGGGAAAATTAAATAGTCATTACCGTGTTATAAATATAATGACATCATTTATTTTAATCTACACAAAACTCTTTCTTTAATTTATGAAAAAAGGTAATCATCATTTTTTCTACTGTTTCAAAACAAACATTTAATGTTTGTTTTAAAACAGTTGCAAAAAATAACAAATTTTGTTATTTTTTGTTTTGTTTTAAAATTTAAAGATTTTCGTTGAACACTAATTATTAGTGTTCAACGAAAATCGATCAATTATTGTAGTTGGGTTTATCTCAATTGGCAAGTGACCACAACAAATTTTAAAACCAGAGAGAGCTAGTGAAGCCTTTTATAGAAAGTAGTTGATGCCACAGATGACACAGGGAAAAAGAATCATCGATTATACATATAAAAGAACAATCTCAATATTAAAAATTACTATTATAGCGATATAGTTTTTTATTTTTCCCCTATTAACCCTAAACTCTTTATCCTCTTAACCTTTTAAGAGTTGGATGACCCAAATCTCTGCAAGGAGGAAATGGGGAAATGGGTGAAATGGTCAGCGGACAATGTGGACTGATCACCCGTCCTGCCGAAGGTGTCCCCGATAGAAAATAATAATAACCCTAAACTCCAATTAATTTTAAAAACACAACTAAAATTAAAAGTAATAAAACTTTTGTGTTTATAATATTATTAAAGTCCTACGTCTTCCGCCGTATCACTGTGAATTAAATCCAATCGAACTCCTTTGGCCGATTTGAAGTCTTATCTTGGGAGAGATATAAAGTTTCAAAATTGCTGAAATTAAAAAAAAAACTAATGAAACAGGCATGAAACTAATAGAAGCGGACACGTGGTAAAAAACAATGAACCGTGTATTTGAAGAAGAAAATAAAGTGATGAAATTAGATGGAATCTATGGACCTTCAATTTATTATCCACGTCTCCGAGGACTCAAGTAATGATAGTGAGCAAAACAATTAAATCTGTACTTTATTTAATTGTTGTATTAGGCCTCAATAAACAGTTAATAACACTTTGTTACTTTTATTTTCATTTTAATAAAAGTTACGATTCAATGCGCAATCGTAATCACGATCGCGAGTTCGATTTCTCGCTTCTATTGTCGTTGACTTTGCTCACGTCAAGTCCTTACGCAAATGTCAAACTTAAGAAATTTTAATCTGTCTATTTTCCAAACTCATTTTCAGGATTTATTAATTTTAGCATAAAATTGTGGTTCTTACTGAGTGAATTCAAGATAATTATTTTGTTTAATTCATAATCCAGTGTCTCAAAGTGTTAATCAATGTAAACCATGTGAGAAAATCACGATTTCATGAACATCGTATGTTTGTTAATAAATAATGTCTCGTAATAATAAATGGACTATATGTCTTATATTATCTATCACCAGTTTGGCTCGAAAGTCTCGTTAACCTGGCCATAAACATTACTAAATAATATCATCTGTCAGATCAAACTGTCAATGTCAAACATCAGAAGAGTTAAGAAAAAACAACCACTTCTGTATTTCTGAAAACGTGTTTAGATTCTTATTTCGTACCATTTATTTGATGAACTACGTTTCATCACATGTAATGTAACCTATTTTCTTCAGAAAGTGAATAAAAAACGAGTAATATGGAAGACCATGATGATCAGGAATTAATATCAGCAGAGCATGATCATTTAGTGAGTGCTATTTCAAAGTTAGATAAAACTCAGCACATAACACAGCCTTCCCGAAATGAGCCTACCAGCCTTAATTCTGAATTTAATTTAATAAAGAACACGAACAAAGTTGATCTTGGCAAAGTTGTTACAGCTCTTAAAGGCAGCGCGCAGCATTCAAATATAACTAACAAGTTGAAGAGACTTCAAAACGCCCAGGCACTTCCAAAACCTTTGGAAAAGCCTCAAGCTGAACGTATTAAAAGAGCGACAGGATATGAAGCAACGAAAGAGAAAGTAGGAAAATGGGACGCAGTTGTAGCCAGGAACCGCACTGTAGATTATGTGTCATTTCCCCTTAGATCTATGACTAGAAAAGAACACCCAACAAAAATCATTTTATCAAAATTGAAATCAAAATCTCCTCTTGAAAAAGAGTTAGATGTAATAGATCCACCAGTAGAAGCTGAAGAAGTTGAAGATGAAAAAAGTTTCCCTATGACTTATGAGGAATTACTAGAACACAGAAAACAAATGGCTAAATTACGAGCTCAACAGTCTTATAAAGCTGCGAAAGCCAAGAGACAGAGCAAAATTAAAAGTAAAAAATATCACAGGTATTTAAAGCATCAATTTTTATATATATTATTAGTTACAATATCGGAACAAGTTACTAGAAACCATCTTGTGATTTATGCTTACTGATTGCATTGTTTACCTTCTATAAAATTCAATCTGCTTTCTTATTTATAATATCTATAGCATATCGCTACATTTCATTTCAATATCTTGCACATTCATTGTGAGTACTGTCAAAAATGTAAAACAATACAAAAATGCTTCCAAGTATGTGACATTGTAATATAACTTAAATAGTACCTCCCTATTAACTTAAATCCATATAATTTTTAGGATCTTAAAAAAGGAGAAATTAAAACAACAACTGAAGGAATTTGAAGAATTGCAAGAAAAAGATCCTGAAGAAGCTTTAAAAAAATTAGAAGAGTTAGAGAAGGCTCGAGCTTTGGAGCGGCACACTTTGCGCCACAAGAACACTGGTAAATGGGCAAAAAGTAAGCTTGTTCGAGCAAAGTATGATAAAGAGGTTGGTACCACAATATAACAACTTAAAAAACGACAATTTGAAAGTACTTGAATTATAAAAAAAACATTTTGGTTCATCATTTTAGGTAAGGCAGCAATTAGCCGAACAATTAGCAGTAAGTCGAGGTCTTACCCAGAAAACCCAAGACACTTCAAGCACTGATGATGAAGCTGATGAAAACGAAGTCATCACTGATTTAACCTTAGCACAAGATCCCTTAAATCCGTGGATGATGAAAAGACCTGATAAGAGCAATGTTGATTCAGAATTTAATTTTGGCTATAAAGAATATCTAAAAAATAAAATGCAAGAAAATCCCGATAGTGATACAGAAGTTAGTGAAAATGAAGTCAGTACTTTAACTTCCCTGAAAGAAAATATTTTAAAACTAAGTAACTCAAACGATATTGAAACACCTACAGTCAATAGGAGTCATTTAGAAGTCAAGACAAAACCTCAACAAGATTTTAAATGTCAAAATGTAAAAATCGTTAAACAAAAAAAGAAACTAGTAGCAGTGTCAACCTCTGAATGGTCTGTGGAAATTATAGGTGAACAAAAAAGTACCAGCAATTCAAAAGTAACAGAAGTTTTTGAAGATTTGGAAAACCAAATATCTAAGAAAGTTGAGCAAAAACTGAAAAATCTAAGAGAAAGTATTGAAGTTTTGGAAAGAGAACCTAAAAAAGAAAATAAGTTTAAAAGCAAGGATAGGAATACCGCTACTGATAAGTTTGAATCATTAAAGTTTAAGAACCAAAATCCAAAACCAATCATTGATGAAGTATTATTAGAAACCAACATAAGAGAAACAGAAAATTTACCAGTGCTTGATAAGGTTACAAAAATATCACAAACTGGCAGGCTCACAGATACTACTCAAATAAATGCAGATATAGATCCTGGGAAGTTTATTGAAGTAAAACCTAAGTACCTTAATACTGCCTTATCAAAAGGGGAAAGTAATATAGATGATTTGGATGACAATGATGAACAGATTGTACCCAAGGTGGACATAGAAGAAGTTTTTGAGGAAGATGATGTTGTTGCCACATTTAGGCAGGAAAAACAAGATGAGGTTGATAATGACATCCCAAAAAATATTGATTTAGAATTACCGGGTTGGGGCAGCTGGGGTGGTATGGGTGTAAAAGCTCCTAAAAGGAAAAGAAACAGGTTCATTTCTAAACCAATCCCTAAGGCACGTAGAAGAGATGAAAATAAAGGAGATGTAATAATAAATGAAGTAAAGATAGCTAAGTTGGAAGCTCACAAGGTTTCTGAATTGCCTTTCCCATTTACTAGCATAAGTGACTATGAGGCTTCCATAAGAGTCCCACTTGGCAATACTTTCATTCCTGAAACAGCTCATAAAAAACTAATACGTCCTAATGTCATAACAAAAGCAGGAACCATAATAGAGCCTATGGATGAAGAACAGTTGATGCTTCCCCGTAATTTAGAATTTAAAAATCAAAATGTAATTGAATTACTAGCTAAAAAATAAAACATCTAATTATTACTTATTTTATTAAGAAAATTAAACACCAACTCGCACAGGAGGTGAAACTAAAATGACTCCATCTCCTCTTACAAATAACATTGGAATATTTCTCTTTGTACTTCTATATACTTCTTCATAAGTTTCTTCATCAATTTCTACTGTTGTGATGGTTTCTTCTGCATCTCCAAGCACCATATTCAAATGTTGATCATAGGCCTGAAAAAAAGAAGACAGTTGACAAACAAATTACTATCAAAGTAATTATAGATTTAATAGAAATATATAAAATTGATAATTATATAAAGTAAGCATATATGCAGTGTATGAAATATGACCAGAAAACGGAAAGATACGTAATATATTATATATACGAGTATAATGCCGGTTTATAACCGAAATCTTACGTGTAACCTTCCACGAAGTTCTCGTTCGTTTCGCATTTTAACATATATCCTTTCATCTAAACTGAGCCTTATCAAGTCAAGGGGTTCTTTTACTGTCATAACAGCAACCTGAAACATATAGGATATGTATTACATATTTTCCTTTTGCATTCTGCAAGGAATGCTACTAATAATAAATTACTAATGCAATAGTAAGGAAAAATAAACAAACGTTTTCACCGTCGTCGGCCATTGTTAAAAGATAAAGAATAAAATTTATTAAGAAGTTCACGTTTTAATTATTTTATAGATGGGTTTGTATCAATTTGTAAAATAGACATTACTTTCGGGGGTAAGTGTCAAACGCAAATTGATCTATCACATGCATAGTCATATCAAATGTTTAGTATTTTTTTAACATTCTTGGCAGCTAGCACCACAGATTGGCAGGCAATTTATTTGTGATTTGTACGAAGTCAATAATAATAATAAGCGGGATATTAAACATTATTAAAGATATTATGTTCACGATTTAGCAGATTTTTAAACAAACTATATACATGTATGTAATGCAGAAAAGATAAATAATTTATCTATGTCTTATGCATAGAGTTATAGACAGATATTCGTAAATGTCAGTTGTCAAATGTCAAAGATAATTCTGTGTTTGGCACGCATTTCCACCACATTTACTTTTAATAATAGTTATCTTATAATTCATTAAATTTAATATTTCATGTCGAATGTTATGGTTCACTGAATATAATGATTATTTAGGTTTAAGTGATTATTCTATAAAACAAGTGTAATATGGTTCGAAGTGGGTAAGTTTTCGTTGCGGCATTTTTTAAATGTAATTTCAATAGCTTTAATTGAATACTTATTACAGACGTGACCGTGACAGGGATAGAGACCGGCGTCGATCACATAGCAGATCTATTAGTCCTGATCGCAAGCGTCGACGATCACGATCTAGAAGTAGAGATCGTACATCCAAGAGTTCAAAACGAAAGCGGAGTCGCAGCAGGGAGCGGGAATCCAAACGTGATCGTAGTAGAGAACGCGAGAGAGATAGAGATAGGGATAGAAAAAGGTTAATAACAGTAATGTAAATGACCATAGTTTTGTAGTAAATAATGATAAAGCTCTATATTATCTCTTAGTTTTTTATAAGTTTGTTTCTGCCAGTGTATGGAGCGGCTGAAGCTTTTCTAGCAACTATTGTATTTATAAATCTGATAAGAGTTCCTTACTTGAGTGCAGAAACACATTACTAACGTATAAATTAGTAAACGTGGTTGTACATTGTAACATTTTTTTTTGTAAGTCACACTTCAGTATTTGAATGAAGGAAAGTACTATAAACTACTGATATAAGTATTATTTAAGTGGTAATTAACATTTTATTACTCGAGTTTGCAATGTAGTTGTGTATTATTTATTTGGTTTAATAAATAAGGGATAAGAGAGAAGAGAAAAGCAATGGGTCCAGTAGCAAATCAAGAAAGAAGTCACCAGAAAGAGAAAAGGAAGGTGAAAGTAAGTCGAAGGAAAAGTCAATTAAAGCCGAACCTGAATATGACATTGGATCCGCTGATAAGGTAGTATTAATACTTGAGTTATTCGTGATAAACTTGAAGATTTTGACTCCGACCTATTTCCGATTATTAATGCTAGGTGATATGTAATGAAGTCAGAGTAGCTATAAAGGTGGCCTTGGTTTCATGTTCTTTGTTAGGTTCATAAAAATGCAGTGTCATTATTTGGATAAAAGTGTGTGTACCAGATATTCTGTCAATGTTCTTAATGTGTAAAATATTATAGGAAGAAGAACAGAACAGGTTAGAGGCTGAGATGCAAAAACGACGCGATCGTATCGAACGGTGGCGTGCGGAACGCAAACGGAAAGAGTTGGAGTCTGCTAAAAAGGAGGTACAAAAAGGAAGTCTAGTAACAAGCATACAAACACCTACGGTGAAAAAATGGTCCTTGGAGGATGATTCTGGAGATGAAGGTATTATTAAATTCATGAATTTGTGCTTATATAGTAATAAAAAATAAATTTAGTTATAAAATTTCTCATTTGCAATACTTGAGGTAGTATTTCTAAAAAATATCATCATACACTTTACATTGGTCATTGAATGACTGTTAAAACATTACAGGGGAAGAAGACAAGGAAGCAAAAGAAAAACAAATAGCAGAAGAAAAGAAAGAAGAAGATGAAATTGACCCTTTAGATGCATATATGCAGGAAGTTCAGCAGGCGAGATTAATATTTAAATACAAAAACACGTTTTAACCAATTAAAAACTTATTAACATTAAACCTACATATGACTGTTTCCTTATAGGAAGTACGTAAAGTAAACCAAATAGACCAAGCCCGTGGGATCATTAACATGCCATCATCAGATAGTGGCGTTGTGATACTAACTGGGACAGCTAAGAAGCAAGTGACTGAGCAGAAGAATAAGGGTAATATATCTTTTTAGTATTTGTTTTTGAATACTTCAAAAAGTATTTTTACAAGATCAATTGGCCAATCTAATCACAAAGTTGTTGTGCAGCCCCTGTTTCTTTACTTTTTTCAAACCAATCCCTTTTGTTCTTTAGGAGAATTAATAGAACAAAATCAAGATGGTCTAGAATATTCCTCTGAAGAGGAGACCGAAGATATTAAGGACGCAGCGGCAAATCTTGCATCGAAACAACGCAAGGAGTTAGCGAAGGTTGATCATGCATCTTTACAGTATATGCCTTTTAGGAAGGCTTTTTATACTGAGGTAAGCATGAAATACAGTGCCATAATTTTATACTATTAAGAGTAGTAGTAATTTTACATATTTTTAGTTTTGATGTTTGTGCTTAACATATTAACTATTATAACATTTGAAATAGTATGTTGCAAATGTATAATTAAATAATTTTTTTAGATCAATGAACTGTCTAGAATGACTGCTGAGGATGTAGAGGCATACAGAACAGAATTAGAAGGTATTCGAGTTAAAGGAAAGGGGTGTCCTAAACCAATTAAAATGTGGGCACACTGTGGTATTAGTAAGAAGGAACTAGATATTTTGAAGAAACTCGGATTTGAAAAGCCAACACCTATACAGGCTCAAGCAATACCTGCTATTATGTCTGGAAGGTGAATTTAATATTTTGTACAAAAAAAATGTAGCTACTGTTTACTGCATAAGAAATTAGAGATTTTTAGAAATATAATTTTATTTAAATAAAACACTTTAACGGTTTAAAACGCGATATATTGGTTAAACTTATTTGAAAATGATTTTTAACTTCGGCCCGACGTTTCGGATGCTTTGCAGCAGCCGTCTCCCTGTGACCACGGCTGCTCTAAAGCATCCGAAACGTGGGGCCGAAGTTAAAAATCATTTTTAAATAAGTTAAAGTGTTTTATTTAAATGTGTACTACTCGCGTAAACTATAGACAGTATTTAATAATAATTTGAATACTATTACAAATTAAAACAGTGACGTTGTTGCTCTGGGCTAATATTAGAACCTACAAAAATTGGATTAGGAATATTTATTTTTTATAAGATATTGATTTTCTATATAGCTATAATAATGAGAATATTTTCAGAGACTTAATTGGTATAGCAAAAACGGGTTCAGGCAAAACACTCGCCTTTATCCTTCCGATGTTTCGTCACGTTCTGGATCAACCTCCTCTAGAAGATACCGATGGACCAATGGCTTTAATCATGTCTCCCACTCGGGAACTGTGTATGCAGATTGGAAAAGATATTAGGAAGTTTGCGAAGTCTTTAAATCTGAGAGTCGTTTGTGTGTATGGTGGAACGGGAATTTCTGAGCAGGTTTGTGATAAATGTATAAGACATAAAATCACTAATAGAATTATATCTACTTGTATAACTAAGTATTGTGTGTATACACATTTTTGTTTATATCTTTAGATATTTAGTTTAGCTGTTGAATAATTTTATCTGTAACTGAATTACATATTAAGATCCTATCAGAGTTATGAAGATTTGAATAACAACATTGGTTAATAAAATATTTATAATAAGATACAGAAACCGTGTAGTGTACATTAATTAAATGATAAAATGTTAAAGTATGAAATGTCTCTCCCCTTGTGTGTATAGATAGCGGAATTAAAACGTGGAGCTGAAATAATAGTGTGCACTCCAGGGCGTATGATCGACATGTTGGCAGCGAATTCAGGTCGTGTCACAAACCTGCGCAGGGTCACCTACATCGTACTGGACGAGGCAGACCGCATGTTCGATATGGGCTTTGAGCCACAGGTAAGACCCAGAAGATACCTGATAAAATCTTATTTTTACGTACGTGTAACTACTTTCACAGAGTATAGAGTATGTACTCTGTGAAAGTAGTTACACGTACAATAGCTCTACATAGTTATTTATGCAATTTTCACCAGTAGACTGAGCTACTGGCAACTTAAAAAAAAACTAAAGCCCTTTGAGCTCTAAATTATACAGCGTTACCTACTCAAATTTCATATTACTTCTTCAGGTGATGAAAATAATAGACAACATCCGCCCAGACAGGCAGACTGTGATGTTCAGTGCAACATTCCCGCGCCAAATGGAGGCTCTCGCGCGGAGGATATTACAAAAACCTATTGAAGTGCAGGTACTATTGCTCAGAAATGTTTTTCTTTCAAATAAATATACATAAGTGTAAAGCAACAATGTACAAAATTTTCTTTCTTTATAATATAATTGTAATAGTAGTTATTTAACTGTGAACTTTAGAAGCTGTTGCTTTCTTTATGTTGGTAGTTATACAACTACCATACGAGAGATGTTTTATTAAGTCTCAATATTTCCAGGTGGGTGGTCGAAGTGTAGTTTGCAAAGAAGTGGAACAACACGTGGCGATCCTGGAGGAAGATGCAAAGTTCTTTAAGCTGCTGGAACTGTTAGGGCTCTATAGTCATTTGGGCAGCATAATAGTGTTTGTGGATAAACAGGAGAACGCTGATAGCTTGCTCAAGGATCTTATGAAGGCTTCTTATTCTTGCATGAGTTTGCACGGAGGTATGTCCATGCTAGGTCGTTAACATTATACATTCGATGTTTATGGATTAAAGGTGTTCTTTTGTAAGGCTATATTATATCGAATTGGATATCCTTCTAAAAGTAACAAAATCTTCCTGGTCTTTATTTTTGGAAAAATTTTGAACTTTTGATAATCTGCTAATATCATTAACAATATGTATGTATTATGTAGTTATTTATGTGTTCTATTTTACTAAAATGCGTGTAAAAACTTTTTTCAGCATTTCCGTGGACGTAATATAGAAGAGAATGTATTTCTTATTTCTTTTCAGAACCTCGAAGTCGAAGCAGGCCTTTAGAACATCTTTGTCTATAATACTTGTACAATGTCCCATAATGCATGTGAAATGACATAATATATTAATAGTGATCTGTTACAGGTATTGATCAATTCGACAGGGACTCCACGATCGTGGACTTCAAGTCTGGCAAGGTGAAGCTGTTGGTAGCGACCAGTGTGGCGGCCAGAGGGCTCGACGTTAAGCAGTTGGTGCTGGTGGTCAACTACGACTGTCCCAATCACTACGAGGATTATGTGCACAGGTTAAGTAACCAAAAATTAAAAGAATAAAAGTATACACATATATTGTTTTGAGCTTGAATTTCTTTCTACGTTTTTTTATAATGATAGAGTACAGACGAGCACGGGGTCACTTGATGTTAGCTGAAATACAGCCCCCCCCCTCTCAGTTTATTATATTTATTATTGTATTGCGGACGATGTATTTTACCTTCATTCGAGTGAAACATAAGCCTGTCGGTCCGTTTTAGTTATTAAAAAAACTTTCGTGTCGTGACATTGACTGCTAAAAGTAAAGGGTAGTAGTAATAATTATACGTTTTCTCATTCCAACGACGTAGACGCAATATACAAAACCTAGTTTTGTCTACTAATAACCTGTTTGTTTACCTTAATACAGATGTGGTCGTACTGGTCGCGCCGGTAACAAGGGTTACGCCTGGACTTTCCTCACACCTGAGCAGGGACGATATGCTGGTGATGTGCTGCGAGCTTTTGAGCTTGCTGGCACCAATCCACCTCTCGAATTGAGGAATCTATGGGAAAAGTATAAGGAAGCACAGGAGAAGGACGGAAAGAAGGTTCATACTGGGGGTGGCTTTAGTGGCAAAGGTAAAAGATAAATTACACGCAATTGACATGCTGTATAACTAAAATATACAACAGTTTTTATGATGTGTATTATTATTATAAAACTAGCTGTGCTCGCGGCTTCGTCTACGTTGAATAGATATTTTCATCATCATATTATTTGTTTTTGAAAACAACCTCCCTAAACTCCTGTCCTGTCGTTCTTTCGAGATGATTAATTTTCTTCATTTTTTCCACATTTCCCTTTATTTCTTCGCTCTTATTGGTCGCAGTTTCATGTTTTATATCCTTACTCGATAAATGGTCCTACCAACACAAAAATAATTTTTCAATTCGAACCAGTAGTTCCTTAGATTAGCGCGTTCAAACAAATAAAGAAACTCTTCATCTTTATATATTAGTATGACATTTAATGCTGCTATACTACCCTTGAAGTTATTATGTCATTATGTAAAATAAACAGGAAATTATCTATATTTCAAGGTTTTAAATTTGACGAGTCCGAAGCTCAAGCAGCAACGGAGAGGAAGAAATATCAAAAGGCGGCCCTCGGTCTCCAGGACTCTGATGATGAGGATGTCGAAGGCGATCTTGACCAGCAGATTGAGACAATGCTTGCTGCTAAGAAGATTGTTAAGGAAATTAAGGTATGTGTTTGTAAAGGAATACAATGTTCGTAAAGTAGGTTAATGTTAAAAAGTGTTGCCTAGTAATGCGTTGTAAATTAGCTGTCCTGAAATCAAATCCCAGAGAAACAGCAACATAATTTTGCAGGCAGGGCACACAATCTAATCAATTACTTGTACATACGATCGAAATAACAGATACAGAAATCGCCTCATGCTTTACTATGGGAAACAGGGAAATTATAATAGACAGCATTACATAATACTTGCTGTTACTTACGACGTCGTTCCTGAATCCGTCCCGTCGTTCTTGAATGTAAAAACGAATCATTCTCTCGTATATATTTTATGGGTTCTTCAAACAAACAAACTCTTTAGCTTTATAGCATTAGTATAGAAATATCTTACTTTTATTACGACACAGTCCTTACTAAGAAAAGCTGATTAAAAGAAGTATGATTTATTTTCATTTTTATTCATAGCCCGGTGTAGCAACAGCTACCCCTCCCACTGGCGGACCAGCCACCACAGATGGTAAATTAGAACTGGCCAAACGACTGGCCTCTCGTATCAATATTGCCAAGGGACTTGGCATAGAACAGAAGGGGGCCACACAGCAAGCTGCCGAGGCTATACTAAAGGGATCGCCGTCCACACACACTCTTATTACTGTAAGTAATATTTTCTGATATATACTATAAGGAGATACTGTCTATAGTTTACGCGAGTATTGGACATTTAACTCGTCTCTAGTCGTCTTGTCTCCCCGTGACCACGGCTGCTGTAAAGCATCCGAAACGTCGGGCCGAAGTTAAAAATCATTTTCAAATAGGTTTAACTAATATATCGCGCTTTAAACCGTTAAAGTGTTTTATTTAAACTAGAATGAGATTAAACTGTTGAATTAGATGTAAAGCCGTAATTTTCTAATTTGTGTAATCAGTCAACATTACTTTGACAACGTACAAGTCATGAAGAAATTGCTCTCTTTGTCATCCACAAATTAATGGTGGATTATGGCGTGGTAGATTTATGGTCAAACTGCTTAATGTAGACATTTAATAAATTGTTAAATACTGTCTGTAGCTTACGCGAATAGTACACATTAAGGTAAAACACTTAAACGGTTGCAAACGCGAAATATATTAACTTATTTGCGGCTGCAGTAAAGCATCCGAAACATCGGGCCTTAGTTAAATAATTTGTTAATAAGTTTAACTAATATATTTCGCATTTTAAACCGTTAAAAGTGTTTTATTTACATAATTAACTTGTGCACGAAGTAGCAATTATAAATAGTTATTGTATTGTGAAAAAATGAAAGTAATAAAAATTGATTTAATGCCACAAAACTAAAAATACAAATAAAAAATACTTAAAGCGAAATTCATTATTTCTCAGCGGGGTGCTTGCTCGAAGGGAACCGCAGAACGTTGTTCTTCAGTCTGCTGTATACGAATAGTAATTGTAACTTATTACTTTCCAGGCGAAAACGGTGGCAGAACAACTCGCCGCGAAGTTGAATACGCGGCTGAACTACCAACCGCGCGACGAAGCGAACGCGGAACCCGCGGAGGAGGTGTTCCGCAAGTACGAGACGGAACTCGAAATCAATGACTTCCCGCAACAGGCGCGGTGGAGGGTAACCAGTAAGGTAAGATATTACTTGTTTTAAATCTTGTACATACCACACGGACGGGATGGCAACAGTAATTTCTTTTACATAAATAGATTTTTCATTTATATTTGAAATTTATAAAGATTTCGCCTCGCACCTGGGGTTCTTGATTACGATATAATAATTGTGTTTGAATTAAAATTAAACAAACGAGCGCTATTATAATTATATTATAGATAATAACATTTGACCTCTGATGAAATCTCATTAGAGTTTAGACACAAGAATTGATTATCGAATCAGTTCATTGTATATTCTTGTATTGCTTTTTTGCCTTAGTATACAATCAACAGTTTATTATATATAAGAATTACAATTAACACATTTTCTTTACCCGGAGATAAATTTACCTAAAATTAGTAACGCACACTCTTGTACTAAAACATCATTTCCCTTAAATAATATATATATATATTTGTGACGTCATACCTGTTTATTTTTCACCGCAATGTCACGTTAGCAAAACATCATCAAATAAATAATAAGTAACTAATTGCAATTACAAAATAATAAATATCGTCTGCTGATAGCAATGACATTTAACCCTTAACTATTGCATTTCTCAAGTCCATAACCCCGATTCCGAGTAAATGAATGATAAGGCGCGCTTAAATTGCATAGATGCAACTCTGCATCCTCAGTCGATGGCAAACATCTCAAGATGTTGCTCAAACTAGCGATTATTGGCGCCTTCGTCTACTTTTGCGTTAAGTTAATCAATAGTCGCCGATGCCATTACTGTAAATAATCGAAAGGTAAAAATAGAAATCTATTTTAGATTGTAAAGTATATATAACGCGGACAGGGCTCGCCCCAAGTGTTTTCCGACTACCTACCGAATGCTGTAGTTGTTAGTTCGAGTCCCGCACCTGTTATCCGGCTTATGTTATCTAAAATATATTTTATTTATATAAATAAGTATATTGAAAAGTAAAAAGTTTAAATAATATGTTATTTCGCATGTGGGTTTATATAATTGTTAGGTTCAAGATATGATCGCGTCGTCTTATTCATAGACAATTTCTTGACTATAATTTTTGTAAATTTCTTAAATTTGATAAAAAAGCGAAAACTTTTAATTGGCTATCTGATATCTTATTTGTCGACTATCCTATTCTACTATCTTTAAATTTTTCATGTTAATAAATAAATAAATAGTTAGTCTTGTGTAACGTCTGTATAATAGGTATTTAAATAAAACACTTGCCCGGCTTAAAACGCTATATATATAAGTTAAACTAATTTGGAATAATTAAAATAATTTCCAAATTAGTTTAACTAATACATATCGCGTTTTAAACCGTTAAAGTGCTTTATTTAAATGTGTACTACACGCGTAAAATAAAGTATTTACGATATTTCGTCTTATTCTAGGAGGCACTGGCGCTAATAAGTGAGTATTCGGAGGCAGGGATAACTGTTCGCGGAACCTACGTACCGCCGGGTAAAGCGCCACCCGAGGGCGAACGCAAGCTATACCTTGCTATAGAGAGCTCACAGGAACTGGCAGTTGCCAAAGCCAAGTCGGAAATAACACGTCTCATTAAGGAGGAATTACTAAAACTACAGACGTCCGCTCATCATATGGTCAATAAGGCGAGATATAAGGTTTTATAATGGACTAGCTATTAAATGTACGATCTTATCGCGTTGTTTTATTTTTCTATTAACAGGTTGAAGAGATTGAATATAAATATTCCCCTATATTCATAGCACTAATGTGTTAGGTGTTATATGGCTGGGATATATCTATTTAGTGAACTCCTCGGTCACAAAAATAGTAATCATTATTACATATAATGTTTGGACGGCTGGCAACGAACCAGTCATATAATGAAGGCAACATACAATATTTAATCTTTTATTTTTTTATACCTGGCGTTTGCATTCCGCGTTATTGGTTCGTGAAAATTTGTTTTCAGTTCTGTACATAAGTTTGAAATTCCCTTAAATATTTTTTTCTTTTAAGTTGTATGATATTTTTTATTTAATTTACATTTAAAGGTCTATTTTGTATTCTATCACGTTTTATTCGCATATTCAAATATTTGCATATCTAGAAATTGAAATAAAAGATATTATTTTATTTCGATTTCATTTTCAGGCAAATATGCTAACTGGCTTTTCAAATCACAATTTAGAAAGGCATTACATAATCTGTGGTCAATATGTTTTGAATAGCCTAAAAAATTACCTCTATATTTATATAGATTATAGACTATATGAACAAATCGATTGTAATATAAATTTAGATTTCTGTTTTCACTCCCCCCCTCAGACCACCAGCCACGGTCGTGCAACACCAATCATGGAGGTAAAATTAAATTGTATACTTACTTCTCTTTTCCCTATATCTCTCATGGCAACCTCATCTCTTATTAGTTTCTATTGCGTAAATGTTTACTAATAGCACCAGCGGAGAATTCCTAGCGATAAGAGAAGAAAAGTCAGACGTCGGCACGTGTTTATAGATACCGCGTATACTTATTAAAAATAGCTGATAGTCTCGTGCGCCAAGATAAAGGTTATCTGTGGGAAGATTCCACCGCGAACGAGGCTAAATACAGCCCATGCGACCTCACAAGTTTACTTTACTATCCTATATTGTGCAAAACAAAATGTTTACTTGGCATCAAGCTATAAAATTGTGACCTGTTTAGATTACGGTTTTATTGTCCTATTGCACTAGATGTGCATTGGGGTGGGGAATGGTAAAACGGGGTAGGAATATTGAAATGACGTCTAGGTTACGAACCATGCGAGAAAATTGAAAGGTTTCTTTGAAAATTTCAGTTTGTATTGGATTTTATCATTTGGATATACAAATGTTTTATCAAGTGAATACAAGTTTTTCTGTCCATTTATCGAATATGAATGGCAAGTAAAATGTTTAAAATTATAGCAAAAATTAAAATAATAAATAAAGATGTGTAAGTTAAATAAAACACTTTAACGGTATAAAACGCGATATATATTAGTTAGAACTACGAACCAACGTTCTGTAAGTTAACTTTAAAAGAGGCTTCTCATTTCTTTTATTTTACCTTAATGGATAAATTGATGATTGTACTACAGATTTCATTTCTTATTCTATAAAGCGAATGCCCGGTCGAAATAATATATATTTTCGGGCATAGTACAACTATCACTAAAACGGACACATTGATAGTCATCTGCCCCACGTTGGGGAAATGGGTTTTTATTCAAATCAATCATTCTATAATTCTGGCAGCGTAACCGTTATCAACTCAAACTCAAAGATATTTAGTTTATAAATAGTTTAATCAAAGTAGATAATCTATTGATACATTAAATGATTCACTATAACTTATTTCTACTTTAGCATCAATGGACGAAATCAACGTACAAAATAAATGTGAAAAAAATTACATAATGTTTAAACATCGGAGATTTGATAACGAGAATGTCGATGATATAAGGTCAAAAGAGTACTTAGCGACAGTTTAATTACCGACAACTCAGTCACATGACAATTTAGGAAAAAAACAAACGAATTTTTTAAAAAAATATTTAAATGGTTTAAAACGCGAAACATAATAAGTTATTTTGGATGCTTTTTAGCAGCCATGGTCACGGGTGGCGGTGGTCGTTAATGTCAAAGTGAAATCTTTTTGCTTTATCAGAATTTTCCAGCCCGTACTGGTTAATTACGTTTGTGCGAGTAGTACCTACACATTTAAATAAAACACTTGTAACAATTAAATCGTTGCCAATAGTGAACTTATTCTTCTATTGATTGACTTCTTCGTCTTATTTTTACTCTAACTTTGTAACTCTTAATTTATCTAGGTAGTTTCGTAATGTGCTCGGATGGTGACCCAGTTTATTTTTGCCTGTAGATGCTTAAACTAGGCTTAGGATAAGTCATAAGTATCGTTATTAGGTATGGTACCTAAAGCAATAAACTTGTAGATGAAGGTTATGTTTCAGACGGTAAAAAAACCTCCTTTTGTAAGTATATACTACTCTAACACTGATCGTCGTCATCTATCTAGATTCTTTGATGTACTCTATCTATAAAATCGATCGATTTTATGATAGTCATTACACGTTTGAAGAATAAATCGTTATAAAAGATAACTATATACGTGCCTAAGATGGTAAATGGAGATAAAATATGTTCTTGAATCTAAATTTAGACGAAATGGGCGAAAACAGATTTGCGATTTGCGTCACAGATCTAATTGGAATATTTGTTTAATTTCAATGTCTTGCTTTACGTCGTGTATATACCTATTTCAATAAGGTTAATGCAATCGTTAAAAATAAATAATAGAAGTGTCGTTAGTACTTTATATTATGTGTATGTTAGAGCTAGCTATAGTAACTACCTACTGTCGATTAATTTTGAATCTGTGGACTGAAACCAAAACGGGGATAACCTTCGTCTTTGAAATCTATGGACGGGATTCGTGACCCGGATAGAATTGCGATATTGCAATAAATTTATAGGTATTCTGATACCTGCTGGAGTCCGTCTGGATATCTAGATATAAAATAGGTATTAGGAAATTCCGTCCGGGTCACGACAGGACATTTGACAGATTAAAAAGCCAAGAAGTTGAATCGCCTTTCGGTTTTAGCGATACAATAGTAAAAATCTTTGGTACGAGCAAATTAATGGCTTGATTTATTATGTAAATGCGTAGATAATATTTTTTTTCTCGAAATACAGCTCGCATGACGTCTGTAAACAATTGTCTCGATGCCGCTCTCGTTATAATTACAAGATAAAAAGTCACATGTCGGCAGTGGCATTTCGTAGGTACTGCACAGATTATACTATTATGCGTTATAGCATGAGCTATAGATAAAATAGACAATAATATAGTCAATTCTTCTAAACACTGCTATTAAAGACATCAATTTAATTTGTAGTTTAAAAATTGAAACTTAATTTAAAAAATTCTCGTGCCATCATGTGTAATAAAAATATTAAACTTACGCGAGTAGTACACATTTAAATAAAACACTTTAACGGTTTAAAACGCGATATATTAGTTAAACTTATTTGAAAATGGGTCTCCCCGTGACCACGGCTGCTGCAAAGCATCCGAAACGTCGGGCCGAAGTTAAAAATCATTTTCAAATATGTTTAACTAATATATCGCGTTTTAAACCGTTAAAGTGTTTTATTTAAATATTAAACTTTTCAAAAGTATTCTTTGTTTTTTTATTAATTATGCGTAGTTAGCCCGGAAACCATTCAAACTAAGCGTTTAGGCACTTGTCGTGTTTGCTGGTAGACCAAGACTGCTCCAAAGGGGGGCATCGGCATCAGCTTGGACTCCCGCAATTTATTCTTAATGTATAGCTGAAGATAAGGTTATTTCACCATTTCGTAAGACTGTTACGTATTAGTAATTACTAGGATTACCAGTATTTTTAGTACTTGACGATTTATTACAATGGGCTATTTGAGAATGCTAAATATATTATATTCTATTATTATTATATATTTACTTATTTAAACAGTTGTTACGTGACACAAAACGCTCCCGATTGGTTGGGCTTATGACGACGTCACTTGCTTATATATCGTGCTATAGGTAATCATCGTGCTTCATAGAGTTAAAACTCTTCTATTGTCTGCATTAATAAAAAATAAATTTGTTACTTGTTTTATTACTTCAATCACCGAAAAAATTTAAATTTTTGGTACACCATGAAAGTATCATGTGATCGACATACACCAATGGACAATATGGTCGTGACGTCACTAGCCGTATTGCAGCGGTATTAAAAAAACTTAGCGTTTAGGCGCGCAATTTCAATGTTGAATTTTTAATGTATGTATCAGAATTCGACAATGCCACTTTTCTAGGGTTCTTTCTACCAAATAATACAAAGTAGGTACCTTTAAAAAATCAGTCAAATACCCAACTATTGAGCTAAAATTTAAAGATGTTTGAAATAAATGTGTAAAGAACTCGTGATATTTTTAAAACCTACATTCCCCTATCTTATCCAAAATATGCTAGTCAGCAATCAGGTAATTCAGCACGTGCAGTAATTGACAGATAAGAGCCGAAACACTCCTCCTACAGGGTATCACCACACTGTTTATGACTGATTCGTTTACGTTAATATCGTAAATATATCACAGATAAGTTAAGGGGGCATTAGGTGTTCACGAATTGATTTTTATCTTAGCGATAACTGTTTTGTGAACTTTGAAAAGTTACAAGTTGAAGAGTTGTCCGTGCAATTTTGTGGCTTCTTTGAATTCGAGTCATGTGTACTGCCTGGTAGTTATCACCAAGTGGGCGGTAGACGATAAAATTTGTCTACCCGCTTTAAAGTAATATGGTAGGATAGTACCTATACCTTCTCTCTCATTAGAGAATACACCTGTACCCATCATTGGGAAACTAGATGGAAACGATATGTAAAACTGCCTTATGGCCATATGGTTTAGCAACCAATTAATTGTCCATTCTTGTTCCTTTTTTAAAATTACAAAAACATTTTAGCAAATTAATGTCACCGCTAACCGTAAAATTTTAAGATAAAATTAAAAATCGATTATATATATTTTTTAATTTAAGACACGGTTAGGGCTTGAACCAGATCTAATCCACAGCGTGTCTTACACGTTATCGTCAAAGCTCTAAATGTTGGTCCAAATCCTGCCCATGTGGCAAAAAATTTCCAATCTTTAATCGATTTTTAATTTATGTATGTAGTAGTGCCATCATGTGCAACATAGTGAAGTTTTCATTCAAGATTGTTTTTTATGCATAAGAATCTTATGTCACGTTGTGATTCGTAGAATTCGTCGCCAGAATTTAATTATATTGTTTATATTAGGAAGTCTAAAGTATATAACTACCTATTCTAAGATGATAAGAGCGGCGCATGGATTAACGGTATTTGCGAAAAAATTGCATGGGTTTGAACTAATACGAAAAACACACTATTATGTAAATACCTAGTTAACTATTTATAGCTGGAAAAATAACCGCATCAATCGATGTTTACTACATAGCTAATTTACGACGCGGACTAATGAGAAGTCTTTAGTTCATACATTAATATATGTTTTATCTGAAGAATAAACTTTCCATCGACACGCTTATTTTTCTCGGTTATGTCGTAAACAGTGTTATCGAATAAGGAATGAAACATTGTTTATTTAATAAACGACTCGGTTTGAAAAACTGCGTAGTGCGCATCGTAAGCATTTCTTAAGACCGAACACATTTAAATAGATAAGTATTGTATTAGATAAGGCAATTTTAATAATGAAAACAAAAACAATAATTTAAATAAAACACTTTAACGGTTTAAAACGCGATATATTCGTTAAACTTATTTGAAAATGATTTTTAACTTCGGCCCGACGTTTCGGATGCTTTGCAGCAGCCGTGGTCACGTCAGTCTCCCCGTGAATCCCCGTCCCCAAAATCATTCTCAAATAAGTTTAAATAATGTATCGCGTTTTAAACCGTTAAAGTGTTTTATTTAAATGTGTACTACTCGCGTAAACTATAGACAGTATTTAAAACAATAATTCCTTTGGAGTTTAAATTAGTTTAAGTAAGAGATACTTGAAATACCTACGGCCCTATAATATCTAATAAAATACGCTATCGACCTAGAGTATTTTCGGATTATGGTTATTCACGGACTGATACAGAAACGCGATTAAACTTCACGCCTTTTTATCCGTGGTCGGCAGTACGTGACCTGAACGGAATTTTGATAATCATATCGAGTTTTTCCGATTGTCATGCGAATATTCTAAATAGAATGTTGTACCCGGTTGAGATCGAACCCACGACAGTTGATCCCCGTCTAAAAAGCAAAGGACTTTTCAAATATAATTTATTTACAAACATGTTGATCAGACTTTCCGAAACTCTTGTTTGTCCGGAATTCAAACCTATGACGCGAACGCAACGTAGCAACCACCTAATTCTGCTTTTTTATTTTGTTGACCATTTGATCTCGAATTTTATCGCAAAGGCATAATCTATAATTAGTGGGGTTACTAACGAATTATAATAATACTTTTGTTGATTCACGTCATTTGAGTCCTCAACTGTTTTATCAACGGGTTTTAGTGACTACGTCATTGATATTGTGAATTGTGATGCAATAGGAATACATTATTCGTAAGATGAGGGGTTAACACGAAGTAATTAAGATATGAATGCTTATGAGCTGTGCGGCAAAAATATGGCGTAAATATATATTTTTTAAAATATGTATTAATAAATTGTTAAGTCATTTAGTTTTGTGTGAGTGTTGGGATTATCTGAAAATATAAATCATTGTTAATAAAATCTTCTCTTAAAAAAATAAAAATATAACCGAACACGTCGATTTATTAAGTCGATATACTTAAGTATTTACTATAAATATATTCCTTTATTTTTCATTTGAGTAAGTTTTAAAATTTTAACGATTGACAAACAAATATAGCTACCCTTAAGTACCGCTGTGTATAGAAAGATGTCGCTAAGTTTCAGAGCTTTTAAAAGCTCTGTGAATAACTCCAAAGTTGTGGCATAGATGGCGTTACTAGTACTGATTTGTAAGGCTTCATCTTCATTTCACTTATGACGTTGAAGCATTGAAAGTGCGCGTATTATTTTTGTAATTTTCAAAGACTGAAAAAATATCTTAAACGATACGTCTCCAATTGAATTTATAATTTTCAGAGAACTACTAATATATATATATAACCCGAAAAAAATTAAATAAGACGAGATTTCTATTCTCTCTAGAGATTTCTATATGCCTTTAAATAATATCGCATTGAAATACAAACACTATATTGTAGTGCTAACAACAATATCTATTAGCTTAACATACTGACGATTATATTTTATTAAATATAATTATTTAGTATCAACACTTTTATTTGCTCAATATAATGCGTCTGACGTAAAGGCGGCAGGAGTCACCTATTTGCATGTAGATAAGATAAGCGAAACAGATATAAAAATGTGTCTGCCTTTTGCAAAAAAGTTGTCACATTAATTAAGCAATTCATTCGCATATTTATTGTTCTATATAAGAATCCGCTGACTCTCGCGATAGCATAAAAGTATTTGTGTCGTTGATATCAATTATGCAATGTTAGCAAATATTTCATTGAGTAGTCGTTGCTGGGTGTACTTACGTTGTTTGTGAATCTACAAACAGGAAAGTTACTGGGCACGCGTCAGGCCAGCGGCCACCGTGTCATAGGTCCATGCCCTTCAACTCTTTAATATTTATCACTTGTTTATACACAATTATTCCCAGTAGCCTCCGACTAAATTATGTAAGTGAATTATTAATCTAATACTATTGTATTGAGGGTTTGTAGTAAAATGCAGAAATAAGATTGAAAAATATTTTTATTATATTGTTTCTCTTGCATTGTCCACATACAGTGAAATCTTTTAACGACAATAAAATAACAACCCGAACCCACTCAGAGTCGGTAGGGTTCGATACATCTCTACAATAAAATTAAACTTTAATATCACAATATCCTTATTAACTATTTGTTTAAAGCTTTCGAGTTCAACTTACGAACTAAAAGGTTTTTAAACCTACACTTATTAGACGTGAGATCTAAGTTATCAAGTTATACGTAGCACTAAGACGTCGGACGAGGGCGGACACTTGGAGAGCTGACGGCTCCGGACGGCGTTTGAACAGATATACCGCGGAGTCGGGTCCGCCTTCTCCCAGCGTCGGCCGTTTACCACGGCCGCCAGACTGAGCTCTTGGCGAAGCTGTTCGTGGTGCAGTCGAGGGGTACGGCGGTGTGCACGGGCATAGGGGAAGCCGGAGGCGATGGGGTCACATAGCCAGATGACGAAGACACAGTTGACAGTGCAGGGCTGGGCGGGCTGGCGGGAGGTGTGTCAGTTCCAGCAGCAGCACGTTGGATGTCATTCAGTTTGTGTCCCAAGTGTGTCATCAGCTGAGTTCCCAGCCTCACGTCAACTCCGGGAATGGAAGCCAAGCAGCGCGAGACTTCATTGGCAGCATGAGTGAATCCAGCTCTGAACCGATCGGCGTCCACCGACGGGTTCAGTGACAGGCGACGCTGGCGGCGCAGCTTGTGAAGATGACGAACAGTCAATTCCAATATATCGGCCTTCTCCAACTTGGCTACATTTTCGCCCTCTGACTGGAGAGCGCTGACCATCAGCTCCTTCAGCTCGTCAAGGCAACGGTTGATGCGTGCGCGCCTCTTGCGCTCCAGCATCGGTTTCATCACTTTGCGATATTGATAAGTGCGCGAGACCGGTTGCGGATCTTCCGAGATCGGATACGCGAGATCGTAAGACATGGTAGACATTGTGTGTGAGCAAGTAGTGAGTGCGTTTGCGTCGAGCGTTGAACGCGGAATGCGGTGAGCCGGTCGGGCGGGGGCTTATATAGGGAGTCGAGGGCGCGCGATCGTGGGAACGCGCAGAGACGTCGAGTTCCCACACGCGCCACCTGTGCGGAGCAGCTGCCGCCGGGGTGCGGGGGGACACGCGCCCGCCGCGCGTGCGCGCCGTAAACAATTGCCGGCGCGGGCGCACGCCGCGACGCTTCGAACGGTGATTGTTAGCCGCGGATGGCTATGCACTATTGCTTACTTATCTAACATTTGACCGCGATCGAAGCCCGGGCCCCATAACGACCTTAATGATGGCGCGTGTTAGTGGAAAACATTCTGTACCTGTTCGAACGGTTAATACGTCAACGTATAAGTTTGTTTATACTATTAAGTAACTTACATTCGTTTATAACGAAATACTTTAATAATTTAGAACAAATTTGTTTAATGTATTATAAATTCTAGAAACATTAAAAAAATCTATCCTACTTACAAATCAATTTATTATCATATCAGAACTCGCGATACACTGCAACACAGTAGCTCGATCATTCATCAAGATTCGGAACGGTGGCCGTTCTCATTACAATTAATCCGTACTCTTACGCAAAGGACGTATCTAATTAAAGCGAATCTAATTAAGAGTTGGTATTTGCGGTGTCGCAAGACGGGATAGCCGACCGACTATCAATCAGGCGCCGGCGCCGCTCACAATGCCCGTCAATTATGCTCGCGAGCTTCTGTTGGCGGACATCAATCATGGATTACTCGTAATAACTATCGACAGATAGAATTACGTGGACTCTAATGATTATTGCGAAACGATGCTGTCGTTATCTTTCGCAAGAGTTTTCTTTTTGTTTAGCATTGCAGCTGGTCACCTTCGTAGATTAATAGTTAAGTTAAGTGCATCGGACATGAAAGAAATTCAGGATCAACCCAATTTATAATTTTATTCGGTCGAATAGGGTATAAACTTTTGACCCACTTCTTGTTTGTATATAAAATAGTTTAATGACATAGACCCAGAATAGTGCCATATGTAGGGATTTCGCTTGTGATAAGAACTACATTGATGTCGTAAGGTTTTAAATTAAAAACTTGTAACGATTTAGAATGTGAAATATATTAGTTAACTTATCTACAATTTAATGTAACTGCAGCCCGGCGTTTCGGATGCTGTGGTCACGGGGGGATTCCAACACCTACCGATAGATTTTTTATGAATTTCACAATATTTTATTAATTATCATTTTTTATTTATTATTTTTAATACAATTACAGTAAATAATTTTTGCTTTTTAAATTGCTTTAAGCAATTCTTAATAAATGACAATACAACGTAATAAAGTATAACAAACTACTTCGCCTTTTTTATATGTGACGATTGAAGACTTGGCGCCAACAAGGAACCTGTAGGATTAAAACATTCTATCATTTTTTTACAAACAGGTTTCGACGACTTAGTATTACAGTATATAAACATGAGTTTTACTAGAACACTATTCGATTATTTATCATTTTTAACCGTTCAATGCTACACTTGATTCAATACTTGTAATGTCAACAAACCAAGCACATTACTCATACCGTCAAATGAGTAGGAGGCGATCTGCCCACGCGCAACCTGAACACAAACTTATGAATACCTTTTATTATCGGACGCCCACTTTCTTCCATACTAAGTGTTTTTTCCCAATATTTACTGATTTCAAAGAAGGAGACGTTTGTTTGAGGTAAACATTATGCATGTCATTTGTAGTGCTCTTAACTGCCCAGTATAGAGGTCGGACGTTCAACTCCGGTTATAAAAATTATCCATAAAGAAAAACAAATGCACGCGATCAATCAAAACCGGTTTTAGTTATACCTATATTAAATATTGTCATATGTTGTAGTATACATTAAAATAAAGCACTTTAACGATTTAAAACGCGAAACCGTCTGTTGCAAAGCATCGGAAACGTCGGGTCGTATTTAAAATAATTAGTAAATAAGTTAAACTAATATATTTCGCGTTTTAAAAGGTTAAAGTGTTGTTTTATTGAATTAATTGTCTACGTTGTTAGGGTTTTTTAACGACAAGTAAAATTAAATGTGTTATAAAGACAATTGCAACATGCCATTTCAAGACAATATATATTATACAAACTCTATATATAAATTATTTAAGAACTTAAGTAATTACTTAGATAAGGTGACGGATCATTCGATAAGTGAATATAAAACAATTTCTCGAAATTATTTTAAACTAATAGCTTAATGATGTACACGATATCGATAAAAATTTATCGCCGAAGCACGAAGTCGAGCCATGGTACCCATGCTATCGATTGTGACTGATAGTGAATTACGCAAATCGTTCAATTGGCGAATGATTTTATCGACTTGTAATCCTTTCTAGCGCTCCATTACGGATGCGCAAGAGTGTGACACACCTCAGTTGTAACCGCACCTTGGTACCGTTTTTATAACTGACTTTAGTACAATGCTCTGGTTCTAGATAGCAGGCTAGGAGATTCTACTATAGTTAATCGTTTTGTAAGAATTATTAATTTACATTAACTTGATTGCTCAATCATTTAAGTATACTCTGTATTATATATTTTCATAAACATAACAAGGATACAACAAAATATCTATTTAAACTTATGTAATATGTTTATATCGTAATAACAATATACATTGCTGGAAGGAAAATAAATTAACTATTTAACTTTTGGTATTGTTTATATTATTTCTTAAATTATGTAAAAGTACTAAAAACTATTTGGTAAAATAACATATAGGTATATATGAATTTTATCTATAATAGGTAACTTGCTTTTTAACGAATATTTGTTATAGCTACAGTAAAATAGACTAGGTAGCATAATATTTTTTTCAAGTAATCTAAGGATAGGATAGTAAAGATCTAGGGTTTCGTGGTGGTCGACAAGGCAGTGTGGCCGAAAAGCTCAATAAAGACTGCGTTTTATAAGATGAGTTGTTTTAAGTTAGGCTCTTAAATTTTATAGGAAAATGGAGATGATGAACGAAAACGGGACAAACCACATGAGCATTCAAATCGATAGACAAAACCTGTATTTTTTCATTGATCTTTCGAGCAACCGACACAGCTGAATCGACATTCTTATGCATTTATTAATTCATTGATGTGATGATAGTTCGTTATCTCATTAACATGGAGCGCTCAATCACGTGACCAGTTTGTACCGTAAAATATTACTTATTAAACGCCAATAAAAATTCCACTATCTAACTTGGAGTGGAAAAATGTCAATTAAGTGTGTAGAGCGTCAGCGCTCGCGCATCTACCTGCGTCATACTTGGTCGCGAGCACGTTTCACCAAACGCACGAGTTATCTAAAACGGTTGTATTGTGCTCGACCGCAATTGTGGAAGGATACATCGATTGTAATTAGTCACTTCTGGAAGGTAATTAGTAATTTAATAATAATATCCTATTAGTAATTTGCTGTGATACATTTATATACGATCGAAAATAGGGTAATAAAATATATTTTTTTGAAATTAAAATAAAGGCGATGGTAACAAGGCAGAAAACGTCTTCTTGAGGAAATAAAAAAATACGTATTATTGCCAATACAGAATTTAGTAAATGCAATGTTGGTAAGTGTTAAATGATTTCGATCGGAACATGAGTCTGATCAACTAAGTACCTAGTAGATCAACTGAAAGTGCTCAGTAGGTACTTACCTACCGTGCTCGCCCCATGGCCCAGGGAGGGATTTTACAGTATGCTAAAATATGTTATACCTTGCTTTCTATTTAAAAGACTTTTTAATGTCTTTCTTATACACATGTCCAAAGACTTCGAAGGATATTTTAAAAAAATTTTCTAAAAAAGGTTATTCCCCTGAAAAGAAATCCATTATCAGATAATACCGTTATCATATTTCGTAATGAGCGCATTATATCAAAGATAGTTATCGTTGTAATTAATCGTGTCTCTGTAAAAATTAACAATTATGTGAAACAACTTTATACATATATTCTTTGGTTGTTAATTTGACTATTGTGATTCTAATATAAGGAGAAGTAAAGGGAATCGGGCATACTTATAAATATTTTTCACATGTTATTGCACACGATGACAATTGATTAATTTATATAATTAAAAAATAATAATAGCAAGTCCTGCCCGGGTTTTTTTCTATCTATAATATTTTTTTTTAATACGTAATATATTTGTTTAAATAAAACAAATATATTAACTTATATGGTTATTAAAATTATGATAATAAATGATTTTGGATTACCTACACTCCATTATAGTATAGTCGTATTCTCTGTATTGTGGCATTATAATTTTTTCAACCTATGTAGACTATAAATGTCCGTGACTACAAGGAAAAATATATGTAGGAGTTCTTAGGTTATGTAATACATCCGTGAGTATTCGAGATACTTTAAGCGCCGCTGTACAAGAATAACTTAGCGTTTGCTTTACTTGTCCAGGACAAAAAGCTTCCCTCAAATAAGGATCGTCGATTTGGTTTCCAAGCAAAGTTGTATCTTCTAAGAATTTATGTGACATCACATCCGTACCATATATATATATATATATATATATATATATATATGTATTATTTAAAATGATTCCCGCAGTACGTCTAGGCTCCCGTGGCTACGTGAAAATTGTGGTGTATAAGGTACGCAATTTGGAAGTTATCCCAAGACTCGAACCTAGGAACACAGTCTTAGCCAGTCTTACCTTTACTGTATTTTTTTGTGTTTAGATTCATATAAAGGTTGTATTAAAAAATATAGAAATGTTATTCAGGGATTTACGAAACGTACGTAAATGAGTGTTCCCCGCGAAATTTAGTCGCACATCTAAATGCTAATAAGAACATTTTCGACTCATCGACGTGCGGAAGTTTCTCGAAATTTCTAACGACACCGATTAAGAAACCCCGAGCGTTTGGAAACGTTTCACCTTAATGTAT